GGCTAGCAAAACGGATGGCAGGCTTGTTTCATTTTTTGAGTGCGCAAGGACATAAGTCACATTCGCACCAGCCATTTGAAGAGCTATTAAGACCACTTTCGACCGTCGTGAAGGACCCTGGGAACTGTAGTTGTGAAGGGACAACTACATAAAAAACTACAGTTCTCCATGACTGCTAAAAAGTGGCACAACAGGGCTTTAAGTGGCTGGTGTGGACGGCGTGACCAAAATCACCAAAACTGCGTCCACTCCTCTCACAGAATTGCCCACCCACAACTTTTCCAGTGATGTGGTGGTACGAAAGAAGTGAGGGGGTGTATCAGGAGAACATGCCCTTTATCATACAGTCTTCGGCTCTCTTAAAAGCAACTTTGTCTGTAATATAACGAGGGATGGGGAAGAAATTTGCTTGTGGTCACATTTTGATGCAAAGCGACTTAGCCTGCGCTTCCTCAAACAATATATGAACCAATCCTTTGAAATTCACACTCCTCTGAATTTTGTGGTGCAGTTTCCCAACCATATACTGTATTTTTCCGTGTATAAGACTAGGGTGTTTTTTTTACCAATAAATTAGGTTTAAAATTGGGGCTCATCTTATACACGGGTAGTGCTGAGGGGTGTTTTCTTAATTTGGAGTGAGTCCCCCAAAATAGGGGGTGTCTTATACATGGGGGCATCTTATACACGGAAAAATACGGTAATGAGTATAAAAACGATTAGGGGAAAGTATGCATAAAAAGGCAGGCACTAGTGCAAATAATATGCCCCAAAATGCATTATATTAAGAGGAATTGCCAGCAAAAAAAAATAATTAATGTGATAAGCAGGACCTTCTGGCTTTGTCTTTTGCGTCCATAGAGCTGAAAGCTCCTAGCCCAAAGATAGCTTCTGCACTACAGTGCTGCCTCGCAAGACGAAATTAATTCGTTCCGCGAGTTTTTTCGTCTTGCGAGTTTTTTCGTCTTGCGAAGCACGGTTTCAATTTTTTCAAAAAAATCTTCAAAAGCCTCAAAAAAGGCTACCACACCGTGTGCTATGAGTTGCTCCCCGAAGTCAAGTCGCAACTGCACCTCTTCAAGCAATGCACCCTGTATTACTGTAATGGTTTTAAGAAAAAGGAAACTAACTTGCAAGACGTTTCCGTCTTGCGAAGCAAGCCCATAGGGAAATTCGTCTCGCGAAGCAACTCAAAAAACGAAAAACTCTTTCGTCTTGCCAGTTTTTCGTCTTGAGAGCCATTTGTCTTGCGAGGTACCACTGTATTAGTAGCTATGAGACAAGGAAACATTGGGGCAGAGGGGGGTGCCACTTATTCCATCACAGTTGTGTTGATGGTAACAGAGCAGTGTCTGTAAGTTCCCTCCTCTCTCTTGACGCAGGGATGTTAAATACATAGCAAGTGCAACCTCATTTGTCAAGAAAGAATGCTAACATATCAGCCCTCAGACTCTTGATGCGTGCTGCACCCCTTGTATTTGTGAACAGACAAGAATGTGGCGAATTAAGAGACCCCACCAACAGAGTACAGTATTCCCTTCATACCATCTGTTGCCCTGCCAATTGTGGAATAAGACGCCCAAAACAAAACTCTGCGAAGCAGCCTTTTTCAATCCAATGCCCTTCATATGTTTTGGACTAGGGATTATGGGCATCAGGTCAGTGAAGGCAGATGTAAAAACTATGCAGAAACATACTAAGAATTTAATCCCCCCCCCCAAAAAAAAATCATATGGAGGAAAAAGGTATGTAAGCTAATTATTGGAAGCTTGGGTGCAACTCAGCTTTTTTCATGGGACCTCCAGCTTTCCAGGCAATCCCTGTTCTTTTATCTCTTTGCTGACTTCTCTCTAGCCTTTGAAGTATAGACTGATACATCTTCGATGGCATCCTGTTTATAACTTCCTCCTCCTCCTCCCACTTTCTCTGGACCTCGAAGTCAGAGGTCATCTTGGATTTATCTTCTGACAACAAAGCAGAAAATGTGGCTCCTTTTTTTCTTCGACTAGTTAGCTAGGACTACAAAACTATTTTCCATCAAGAATGTAATTCCTTTAAACAAGCTTTCTTATTTAATACCAAGTCTCAGATCTGAATACCTTCCAACTAAAGGTGTGCTCCAAGAAGAATGCATTTAACTAAAGTTAACTTCTGCTGCTTATGAACTCTCTATGCTAACACTATTTTCTACTAAGAAGTCTTCTTGACCAGGGGAAACAGGAGATGGGGGAATAACTGAAATGATTTCAGAATTGTGAAAGTGTATAGACCTCGAAAGTCATTTCTTCAGTTCCACACTGTGGCCCGGCCTTCATATAGCTCCACAACAGTCTGGCGTCTCAGTATTCCACAGAGGGGAAATTCTCCTTCCTCTTAATAAAAACCATAACAGCGCCCTATAAACATCATAAATACAATATATTAAAAAAAAGTGAACCCAAATAAAGGAATGAAAGGTTGCACAGGTTTATAGGCAAACCAGTTGCAAGATTTAGGTTTTCTATGTACTGAATTCTAATTCCCTAAGATTTCGTTTTATCTCAGTTCCTGTCCCCTAGGTGGCTTCACACTTCGTGGGGCAGTCATGTGTGCACCAAATGTCTACAAGGGCACATGTCTATAAATACACAGTGGGCGCACGCTGAGAGCCATGCTTGGTACTGGCATCCTGGCACACCGCCGGTGCATGTTTGTCCATCTCCCTTCCTCAAGTTATGGAGCTCATTGTTTTTATGCACCAGGCAACCAAGAGACACATTGGCTACCCAAAGCATAAAGGGGCCTCAGTGGAACACTAAAGATTAAACCCAACAGGGGGCTTATTCACCTGTTGATATTATCAACAGATGCCTCAGCAGGAGAAAAATAGTGGTTTGTGCCATTATGGGCAAAAGCTGAGGGAATCTTTTCCTGTCACCAGTCTGTAGATCAGCCTTCATCAACCTCCAACACTTTAGACTGGGCTGGGTTAAGTGGGGCATGATCGACCCACGTGGTGGTGCGAGGAGACAGGCAGTCCAGTGAACATCTTTTAATTGCATGACAAAGTGTAGATGGGGCATTTTATTGCAACCCTGCGTTTAGCAGGGAAGATGGTGAGTGGCATATCTGAAACTTGAGTTCACACCCACTCTATAGGTGATCTTAAGCTGTTTCCAGATTATTCCCACCCCTTCCTCCCAGTCCTAAACACAGGTTTAGTATGCAAATTTTGTTGTTCTTGTTCCAACCAGGACAGAATTATCAGGGCATGCTGCAGAGTTTGGAGATAAATGAACCATTCCATTCCTTATATCCCTACCTCATCACTGAGGTCTTGAGGTGAATCGCTGTTTGTGGTCCTCCACAGCTCAGAAGCACAGCTCCCGTCTACCAGGAGCCATGCACATTCAAGTACTATGGGCCCAATTTTGGGAAGCTCCCTTCCAGTTGAGGTCAGATGGGCTCCTTCCCCACTGGAATTTCTGGCATCTGGTAAAGTCGTATTTAAATTTCTGCAGGCATTTCAAGTCAGGTGGGTGGGATACAAATAATAAAATGATTTTTGTTCTTTCCAATTTTATAATTAGCTGTTAACTGGCCTTTCCTCTGGTGTATTTGTTGAGCTTGTTGTACACTTAAAGGCGATGGTAATTGAGGAGGATATAAATGGTCAAAATAAAGAACTCCTGCATTGAATGGGTACCTCTCTTTTTTGACCATCTCCCCCCCACCCCCGCTTCCTCATTTAGCACTGCATAGCTCAGTCGTACCTGAACTTAGAAATACCTTTAACACTGCAACTGGGAAGCCACGGGAAAGAGCCTCCTTCTAAACTTAGCGGCAGGCAGCTCCTGTGCAAAGATCGATTCCCTTCCTCTCCCCAACCTGCCTCCCACCGGTTAAACAGGCAGAAGGGGTCTTAAACAGAGGAGAAGGCAAGTCAATATGTGTGGCATGAGCCATGCCATGGCATCCAAGCCAAGCCTTAAGTCCAGCCACTTTTCACTCAAACTTTTCAGGAATCAGGTGTCTTGGAAGGGGTGTGTGGGCGCATGCGCAGTAGTTTCTGGCTCCACAGCACCACCTAATGGAGAGAGCAGACTCGGGACAAGAAAGTTGCCCCAGGAAGGTCGGCCTTGGATGGGGAGAGAGAGAAGAGAGAAGGGTTTTCAGGCCAAATTGGGTCACAGCAAACCGATGTGGTGGGAGGGGCAGTTCAAAGGCATGAAGAACCGGCAGCACATTTACATAATCTTTACTGAGGGCTCCCTTCCCTCCCCTGCTCCCGCAAGGTTAAGCCCAAAGGATTGACTTTTTGTCCTCCGGTGCTACTTTGCATAGGGGCATTAATCCCCCAAGCTCAAATCAGACTTCAGTGTGAATAGCTAAGTGGCTGCCCCAAAAAGTTTCTCCTTCAAGTCTTCGTCCTTTCTCAGTTACTGACGTAGAGGGGAAGCCAAACCAGAATGGCAGCAGGATGGTCATCTACGTGGAGCTGCCATCTTTTTCTTGTTTTACACAGCTGGAATGGTGAAGGTTGTGTGGGTGTCAAATAATGTACCATTTGCTTCCACTGTGGATTTTTTTTACCTGTAGGCCCGATCTTGAGGTAGTTCCTGCAAGGGGCACGGGGAAACGCCTTTGCAGTGGGAATTCAGCCATTTTGACAGAAGCACCAGCACTAAGACCTTGCACCCACCGTTGAGTTGGGACGGTGCGTCAGAGGCCCTCCTCCACCTCAACATCCCCACCAGAAGCCCAGCTCTTCCACCTCCACAAACCCCAAACACACGTCAAGGCTAATTCAAGAACAAGAAATACGACAACGAAACAGAGTAGGCACACTTCGACTGGCCTCCTTAATATATTCAAGGCTGCAGCTTTATAGCTCTTACAACACTTGCTTTATTTACAAAAGGAAATGTTGGAGGCAGGATTTATAGACGGTCCCCCAAAGTACCTATTTCTCCCATTTATGAGAGGCCAGGCAGAGCTGATACGTGTACAGCAAAAACTGATCACTTGCCCAGCTCCCCAAGGGCTCCGGAGAGAGCAATAGTCAGGCTCACTCTCTGCAAACTCACACAAGCACAGGCAAGAATTTGAATTCCAAACTCTGTTGCTGGGAGACAGCATGGCTGGCCCCAAACGTTTTGCTTCCCAAGGTAGCATATCCACATGACCCTCCTCTGCCCCACAGAGGAGGCAGACAAACCCCACTTAATGGCAAACAGTGCTGTGGTGACATCATCTTCAGGAACACCAGGGGTTTGTAACATGCCCTCCTTGCTCTGGCTGGTGAATGAGGAGATGACAAGGCTTTCAAGTTTTACTTTTGTTTGTGAAATGTCAGCATGTGACATGATTACTGTCAGCTTAAAACACTCGGCTATAATGGTATATTATACAATTGGTATAATGCTGGGCACTATTACTCTTTTGTGTCTACGTGTAAATTCAGGAATAGGGAACCAGGTGCTCTCAGTGTGATGATGTAGGACTTCTATCAGCCCCAACTTATGCTCAGGAATGATGGGAGTTGTAGTCCAACAAGAGCTGCCTGATAGCATGATTCCTGGTCATTTCAATGTGCCTTTTACAGAGTAACCACCCAAGCAGAGTCTGCTACATGGGACAGATCCTCCCCATCTCTCACCCAAAGTTAGTCTCTGCAGCAGCTAGCTCAGCTTGCTTCATGGTGGGGTCGCTGCTGGAGGCGAGATGCTAGCTCACTCCCCAAGCAGCAAGGGTCAGCTACCACCCTTGGGGTCCAGGTAAGCCGCCTCTTTTATCCACAGATGCACCCAGCAAAGGATGGTGGGATGCTTCAGAGTACAAGATTGCCTTCTGCCAAAAGGCTTAAAAAAAACAAAAGCCAGCCTTCTGAGGGAAATCTTTGGATACAGGAGCAGGCCAGATCAGAAAACTAAAGGGCCCCTGCTTTTTGTACCGGGACCCTGAATCCTCACAGAGCAGGGGACGCAGATCAGTTCCAACACTTCTTAGAGCATGCTGCCAAAACCAGCTTTCCTAAATCCAGAGTTGATGTAATCCCCAGATCAGAGAGAGTAACACCATAAATGCATCATCGAAGTGCCGTAACAGGGGCTCTATCACACAAGCAGCTGTTCGACAAGCTTTATTGCTCGTTTGCATACGACTTTCCAGCAGTCACTCCATTTCTCCCGAGTTCCCTAATGAGAGACTGCAAATGAGATTCCGGGGGTGCGTGCGTGCCTTCTCTCTGGGTTGGAAATGGGTCTCAAATACGGAAACCGGGCAGCTCGAAACCTAGTGTCTCCCAGCAACTGAAAAAGCTCCCTCAGGCCCCCATAGTGCAGTGAAAATGTGTATTTTGTGCTCAAAAAGCAAAAAAAAAAAAAAAAAAAGCAAAGCCGAGGCAATAAAACAAATCTGAATTTTTTAAAAACTAGAAAAATCCACACATTTCAATGGGTTTGCACAATTTATTCTGTCCTGCTAAATCATGGAGAAGGGTAATGAATTCTGCAGGGGCCCTACGCCATAACCCTGCCAATTAGGCTGGCTTTAGAGATCCCACCTGGGAACCTCTTATTTGCAGCTACAACAGTTCTAGAACATGGCTGTGGAACCTTTTCTTCTGTCAAGAGCCACATTCCCTTGGGGAAAGGCCCTTTGGGGGGCTGCAAGCTAGCAGTGGGCAGGGTCTGGAGCCGCTGCTGTTGGGGGGGTTGGGTCAATGATAAAAGTAGGTGGGGCCTGAAACCATTCCCCCACCTCCTTGCCACCTGTCTGAAATGATTCAACAAAATGCATATACTGCTTGACTGTACAAAAACCTCTAAGCAGTTTACCAAAATATAAAATAAAATTATTGGTTAAAAACCAGTCTAAAACAGGCATTTAAAAATATTCTTCCAAACAACCCAAGGTCTAAAACCAACTTGACGAATCCTGCCTTGTTTTGTGAGCCACTAACCACAGTTTCCAGTTATGCTCAAACCTGGAAACTAAGGTCAAGTGCTGGATCTTGGCTTGCACAAAGGTAGGAGCAAGAGAGTTCCAGATACCAAAATGTAGCTTAGGCACATGTTGGCTTATTAAGCTTGGAACTGATGGTGCGAAGGAGATCACATTGCCTCTGCAGCCCTACCAAGCGAGGAGGAGGATTACAAACCTCCTCCTTTCAACATAATAGATTGATACCCAGAGACACACTCCATGGCCCAAGAAAGCCCTAAAACATGCAACCCGAGAAGCCATCACTAATGCCCACCCAAACTTTGCATTGTGGGAGCAAGCTAATTAATCACGCACATATGTTCCTTTATCTGCAGCAGTAATCCAGCTTCTGTTTGAGCTTCCAACAAGAAAAGATAATCATCGCCTGTGATTTATTGACAGTGACCGTGTGCTTGAAATTGGCAAGGACCAGTCAAGTTTGTCAAGAGCAGCCCTGCATTTCCCCAGCTCTTAGGACGGCTCCCGTGGCAGGTTTGCAGGCCTGCGTTAAAGCTAAAGCACACAGGCTGGCTAAGGAAGCTGGATTCCACTGTGCTGACCCAGGTTCACCTTCTGTTTGAGAAAGAGCTTTATTTTAAAATGGTTATACAATCCGCAATCTGGCATCAAAGTTGGGCGGCGGGTAGAAAGGAATAATTTGAGTTTCAGGGCAAAGGGGAAAGGTGACTGATGTTTCTCGTCCTATCTCTGGCTCATTCTCATGATTATTCATCCAACTTTTCGGCCCTCTCTCGGAAAGTTCTTTGACTTGGGTTTTTACTTCTTTTATGCTCACATCCAGTGTGTGTGTAAATGGAATGCTCTGTACATTTAACTGGGGGGTGCTCTTATGAAGCTTTTCATTATGGCAGAATAAGAGATGGCGAAAACTCATCAGGATTTTCTAATTACACAGGGGGAGGGGGAGGCGTGCCTGGCTTTGTCTTCTCAAGATGGTTTGTGTAAACCTCATTACGTGGAGATGTGAAGTGAGAAAAACAAAGGCACAACCCTGAAATAACAAGTAAGGCACTTGGGAAAGGCCTAAATAATAATAAAAAACAAAACAAAAATTTAAATTGTTCGCTTTAACCATTTACAGGCTACCTTTTCTGCAATGATTATGGCAAAGAGACAAGTGAGCCAATTCATTTTCTGGAGCAGGACTGTAAATCAGGAGGTAAAACTATGGCTAAAAGCCAGAGGTCCTTTGCAAAAAAAAATGAGCGTAAAGGTGGACAGGGCTCTGGACCAAACGCTACTGCTGGCAGTAGCAACAAGCTTTTAGCATATTCACATCGTTTTCAAAGTCCAGAGCCAGCACCGCCGTCACACGTTCTCTGTTTTCGGCGCATCTGTAGCATCATGAACGATGATTTCCACCATCTTTAGCAAACCAAGCACCTTTGGGAGCTGCAGGGCCATTAACACGGCTAATTCTTGGCCGATTCCTGGCTGCATCTCAGGGACCGATCAATTCTAGCATTTCCTTCGGGTCGACAATCTTCTCCCGAGGCTTCCCGGCCAGCTTGCCTCTCGCCACTTCGGCAGCGTCAATCTTCTCCCAATCCGAAAAGGAAACTGGGCGGATCCCTGTTAATCACCGCAGAAAGGGAAAGCACAGATCAGATCAACCTGCTGCTCCCAGATAAATTCACACATGCAAAAACGGCAGAAGCTCACAAGCCTTCCGCATCAATTACTAGGCAGACTCAGGAGTGCCGGTCAAATGAGATTACTTGTATCTTGGAAGGCTCTTATAATAGCACAGCTCTACCTTAGGGGATGAAGCTCTTTTTTGGTTCGCTTTAAAAGCCTGAATTGGTTTAGAGGGAACACGTTAATTGAAAGCATTTAAATATAATGACAGCAAAGGACCCTGTTGGGCTTTAAAACTACGTCCCCAAGCCCACTGGGGAAGGATCGCTGCAAAAACGATTCAACGTTTCTCCACAAAAACAAAGCCGTATTCCTGTGGTCTTTTTTCCCCAGGTTCTGCACATCGCTGAGAAGCAGTCAAACCGTCTGGGTTCCTTTTGAGATGGCATTTCTGCCCTCTCAATCTTGCCACGGCTACTGCTTTTCACATCACCACCACCCCATAGCTTTGCACCCTTGGGAGTGCAGGGATCCTTTTTGCATAGGAATAAATTACCTGCATGGATCTCTCTGCCACACAGCAAAGTGAGCATGCACCTTTGTGGGTGGACAGTTACATGGGCATCCCTTATGCTGCATGTTCAAATAGAGCAGGAAGTTTTAAATTGCCCAGGTCACCAAACGAAATAGACACTAGGCCTGGGTGATATATCACATGATAGCGGTTTCATAATTTGTGATCTGGCAATATATCACAATTCATGATATATGTTTGTGTGTGTGTGCCCTATGCAAAAAAATATGTGGAGAAAACCGTGAAGTCAGCCAATGCCTCTTTGTAGCTCCATCCTTATTTCAGGCATTGTGATATAAAAGTAAAAGGCAAAGGACTTCTGGACGGTTAAGTTCAGTCATCTCGCTTTCAGGCCGAGGGAGCCAGCATTGGTCCACAGATAGCTTTCCGGGTCATGTGGCCAGCATGACTAAACAGCTTCTGGCACAACGGAACACCGTGATGGAAGCCAGAGCGCATGGAAACGCTGTTTACCTTCCCGCCACAGCGGTACCTATTTATCTACTTGCACTGGCATGCTTTTGAACTGCTAGGTTGGCAGAAGCTGGGACAGAGCAACAGGAGCTCACTTCATTGCAGGGATTCGAACCACTGACCCAAGAGGCTCAGTTGTTTAGACCACAGCGCCACCCGCATCCCTATCAGTATATCACAATGTTTAGCGGGCAATATATCACGATGCTGAAAACCAGATATCGCTCAGCCCTACTGCTCACCTCTACAGAGTTTCATCCTTATTTCAGACATTGTGATATATCGATATATCACAATGTTTAGCTGGCAATATATTGTGATGTTGAAAACCAGATACTGCCCAGTCCTAATAGATACATGTTTCTATCACATAACTGTGTGTCCACAAACAATTGCTTTTACATACTAGGTAACTATTTTCCCATGGGCAAAGTGGCCCCAAGAGCTGCCAATGGCTTCCTGCTTGCTGCCTTGGCTTTTATTTGAGTCAGATATGTAAGCAACAGACAGTGCTCTTACATAGACAAACCTTGTTCGCCCGCCCCCAAAGCTTGCCTGACATGCTGAACACGACACAGCACAAACCTGACGTAATCCTCTATTACGGCAGGCAAAAAAGAATAATACCACCAGACTCTTTGTGTGGAAAGGTATGAAAGTCTCTAATCGTAAGAATGAACACCCAGTTCAAGCTCCAGTTCTTTCAACCTCGGCTCCCCTTCAGTGAAGCACTGAACAACAGCTCACCTTAAAGCACTTGAGGCAAGGTTAGGCAAAGACTTCAAAATACACACTTAAAGAAGAGAACAACCACAGTAACACCAAGTTCCTGTCTTTGGTTCCTGGGAGAGGAAGGCTGAATTTCCTGTCCATGATGTTTGGGTCAAAAAAAATCTCATTAAAAGTGAGAACAGCAAAATAAAGTTGACGGTAGGTATCCTCAAGGCTCCAGAAAGAGATTAGAAAGAAACACAACAGCAAAGGGCATTATTATTTCTTAAGATCCTTATAATGTACCAAGTACAGATAAAAAACAAGAACCCAAAAATCAAGTCCCCTGGCAAAGCCTTAAAAATCTAACATATTTCTTTAAAAATTAGAAGATGTATCTTGTCCCTCAACACTTGAACTGTGTATTTAAAGCCTCACATTTCCAAATCTTGTCTCATTGTTCGGTGGACTGTGCGTCTTTCGGCAATATATTGGGTCATTAAGGTAGCTGCATGGACACCATTGCCAATCTGGTGACAAGCTTCTCTAATGAGAATTAAAATACACACCTTGGCCAAGGTCACCTGTCCTATTATAGGATTCCAGTGTGAATCGCAGTAGGATGGACAGAAAGACAGAGCAACACACTTACGTCGGGATTGAAGGATGCTTCTCACTGAGCCAAAGCCTTCCTTGGCATCAGGAAAGTCCAGAGCGCCAGACTGCAGGTCCTCCAGCACAGACTGGGCTGTGTCAAAGCTATCGTTCATCGTGGTGATGATGACGCCGGTGGGGCCCCTCTTCACCCAGCCGCTGCAGTAGAGCCCTGCAAAGGGAAATGAGCAGATGAAGCACGTGTCCGCAGGTCTTCCCATGGAACACCTCCAAGCAGAAGCTGCAAACCTGCAGCTCTTTCTCCAGGGTCAACTGGAATACCTGCTGCTGACCCCAGGAAAAATTACCGTATTTTAATATTTTGTTGGAAGCCGCCCAGAGTGGCTGGGGAAGCCCAGCCAGATGGGCGGGGTATAAATACAGTGGTACCTCGGGTTACAGACGCTTCAGGTTACAGACTCCACTAACCCGGAAGTTCTTAACCCTTGGGTTAAGAAATTTACCTCAGGATGAGAACAGAAATTGCGTGCTGGTGACAACAGGAGGCCCGATTAGCTAAAGTGGTACCTCAGGTTAAGAACAGTTTCAGGTTAAGAATGGACCTCCAGAACGACTTAAGTACTTAACCCAAGGTACCACTGTATTATTATTATTGGGAGGGGGGACAAATGCAGCAGCGACACTCCAAGGCCCATGCATGCAGGTGCCACAAAGCTGGCCCAGAAAGCCTCGGTGCCGGAGCCACGAACCTCTCAGTAGAAATTACCCTGGGAATCCCAGCCAGCCGCTCTCACAAGCACCCCTGTCGGAAACACAGTCTCACCCTCTGCAATGCCAGTCTCCACATGGCTGCAGGTCCACTAACCTGGTGCCCCGAGAACTCTGCCCGACTGGTTCGGGATAACGCCTCGCTTGGGGTCAAAGGGCACGGCGGGGTCAATCGGGAGGCTCCTGTACCCAATGCTGCTGAGAATCAATCCGCTCATGACGTCCTCAGTATCTCCAGTGGGGACTGCCTTGGCAGCGTCTCCTGAGCCCTGCACAGTTCAGGGGCAGAAAAAGAGGAGCAGAGGACAGCGTTAGGGAGGGACGTCCTGTCCTGCCAGCACACACACAAAAACCAGGCTTATTGGAGAGGTGCATGAGCCGAGAGCCCCCAGCAGCACTGCTAGGTGTGTCCCTGGCTAGGCGTCTCCGCCACCCCTGTCCTGAGAGCCTCATGCTCCAAGCTTTTACATAGCTGAAATAGATTTCAGAAGCAGCATCCGTTTGGGTCTCAGCCTCCCCAGGATGCTGGTGATCTCCTCGTGAGCACTGGCTGCGTTATGAGGGCATCCTCCTTACCCCAGCTACCAAAGAGATTGTGGGAGGGGGAGACACTTTCTGTACCACTCGGAGGAAAATGGATCCTTGGGGAGACATCGTCCCGGCTTGCCGAGAAGCTGCCATTTCAGCTTGCAGACGGCAGGCAGTTTACACCGGTGGCTCTAATTAGACTGGGAGAATAAAGCTGTCTTCCACTTAATGCCGAAAGGCTCCTGGGGGAAACTCCAAAGCTAAATGGATGCAGCAAGGCATTCCAAGCGCCAGACAGGATGAGCGAAAGGGGGCGGGAGCAGGGAAGGAAACGAGGCTTGGTGGGGCCACGGGAGAGGAATTTCGGAGCTCGTACTTCCAACCTGGTGGCAGCCAATCGGATGGCTCTGGCCTGCTTCCCGTCGGCGGTGGGCAAGACTTCCAGCGGGCTGCACAAGAACTTCAGGCTCCACTCCTTGGAGGCCGAAAGCCAGCGGCCAGACACCACCTCCCCGGGCTCTTCCAAGGCTGTTTTGGCCATCAGCTCCGTCAGCCGTTTCCTAGGTCTGGGGAGATCTGAAAATTACAAAAGCACTTCAGAAGCACAGGGCGGCCCTGTTGGGATCAGAGGTCCCTGTTGTGCTACTTCAGATGGTGATGGAAGAAGGCCCAGCAGGAGGAAGAGAGACCATCTTGCTCTGCTACACAGTAATCAGAAAAAGTGGAAGACTATCTGCGGGACTCAGCCAGCCACCAGAACGTGAGAAATTGGGGTTAAGGCTCCATTAACTGAGGCAGCTGGCACTGAGCTCGGTAATAGAACATGAGGAACAGGACAACTCTGCCCACAGAGCCACTTGCAACGAGGGGATTCAACCTGCCGTGTGAAGCCCAAAGCAGAAGACTTTTTTCTCACAAGGAGAGAAAACACAACAGCCATCTACATGGATATAACAATGGAGCCTAAGTGGGGAGGGCTATTACCCCTTTGACGAGGTAGCCACTTTCCTACAAAAGGAAACACACAAATAAAGCAGGAATGGAGCCCTCATGCGATACATTGGGCTCCATCAGCAGTTCTCAGAAGGCGTCCCAAGCATGTCAGCATCCGTAAAGGTCAAACTAGACATGAAGTGATAGGATTTTCCCCAACGGGGCCCTTTGCTTTGCTTAAAAGCAGCAGGGTGGGGTAGAGGTGAGATTGGATTGGGGCCCAGGAGGAGGAGGAGGGGTCAACTCTTTTCCCTGCCACTAACACAGTGATTTATATTGCCCCACAGCCCAAACTGTTATTAGCCTCCAGGCGTGGGATTTGTGGGGAGGGGGTAAGGAAGACCCATGCAGTATTTCAACATAAAGAAAGCGTACATCTAGGGATCTGATCGCGGATCTTCTCCCATGTCTAGTCTGCATCTTGGGCTGCCAATTCATCAAAAGCGGAGGTGGAACTGGCTCAAGCCCTTCGCAGCTTGCTACACTACAAGGGGAGGAAAAACTTGGGTTGTGATTTTACCAAAATTGTTGTTGTTGTTATTATTATTCACTTGGTGAGGTGGCAACAAGCATTCATTCCCCACCCCCAATCTGAAGGGTTTCAGATTTTACTTGCTGAATTCAAAATTTGAACAGACAACACTTTAAAAGACAAACAGTTTAGGCCAGCTCAGCTACGAGACTGAATTCCAAACACAGCATTTATCTGTTTCCCCCCGCCAACAGAATGCTTAACCTTCTACTCTCTTCTACTCAGCCCCCTTGAAATGCACCCTCCATCAACTCCTTCGCCGCCTACCCCTCTGGGCTCCTCCTCCTTCTCCCCTGATGTTCCTGTTCTTGTGATCGGGATGTGCAGGGAAGAAGCCTTAGGACAGAGCTTGCTGCACGCTCCCGAGAGCCAGCCAGCGAGGAGGAGCTTCTGCCTGTCTCTGGCCCTCAGCCATCTCAAGGTTAAAGACAGCTGTTGTTGCAGCTCATTGCCCTTTGGAGCACTGCCGTTCGTCCCGACAGCGCACACTTCATTATTGTAAAAGAGGCTCTCCGCAGGAAACAAAAGGCAAAACAGGGGACATGTTTCGCTTGCTAAACCAAACCACTCCTGCTTGAGGTATGGCTCTGCACTGTAAACATTTGCAATGGTTCAACCCTCATAGCAACCCTCACACCTCCACCGTGGAATTTGGGTATGGTGAGGAGGACTGGTTCAAATTATCACCCTGTGTTGACTTGGCCTTGGTCATCAGCACCAAATGGTAATTTTTGAACTATAAAAAGGCACCAGCTGCCGAACGAAACATAAACATCATCCACATGTCTCTGCCATCTAAATGGAGGACCCCTCCGTCTCTATATGGGGACTTGGCCCCAGAGCATCTGATGTGCCCCTACCCATGTACAGAGTGCTTTCTGCTCATCACTTCCCATGCTCAGCCACACCACAACCAGCTGGGATTAGCAGGAAAGGTTTTCAGATCACGAGCCACAGCAGCAGCAACATTCATTTAGGAAACGAGCTTTGGCTGATTCCTCACCTTTAACAGCCTCTCCAAGGTCTTTGAAGTCTGCAGGATCTAGGAAAGGCCGGGCGCTAGGTAGGTTGATCATCTCCCGCAGTTCCTGAAGGTTGTCAGACAGAGAGCCATTATGCGCCACAACTCCACACCACCGAGTTGCAGAAACAGGTGTGATGCAGGGAAGCAGAATCAAATTGGCTTTCAAAAGTCCCATTATCAATATATATTTATACTCCACTGCCATAAAGAGCCTATAGGCTTAGAAAACTCATGTTTCAAACACCCACAAATTTTGGGGTCTTTTCTACCCAGCAGGCTGGCCTCACAACCAGGTGTGTCCTAGCAGGAACAGGCAGAGATTGCAGTCATTTTTGCAATTGTGAACTGCGAGCAATCTTCCCGCCTTCAAAACTTTGGTGTGGAGTGCAGAAGCTCTCGCTCCGTTCCTTTTGAGACCGTAACGTGGCGAATCCAAGCCTGTCTTGGATATTCTTCATCCAAAACTTTAATCAGTGACTTCAGCAATTTTACACCCAATGGAACATATCAGCCACACCAGATGAAGTGATAGTTATACTGAGCTGGAAGACACAGAACCTGAAGAGCTTTCAACTGAGAAACAAAAGAAGCGTGTGTGTCTGTTTGTTCATACCTTTATGGTGAAAGCCACCTGGAGGGGTCCCCTCCTACCGATAAGGCACACCCGCTTGACTTTGCTGCGGGCCAAGGCTGTCAGGGCATCCTCCGTGATGTCAGTTTTCTAGACAAAGGGAAGAACAGCACCATCCAGGGTTAAGGCAGGGCCACGAGGACCAAGGGTGAAAGTCATGTAGCCACCAGTTCACATGAACGACCCAATCGCCTTCAACGCTAAGCTCATCTACGCAGGCAAATCTGACATTCAAAATTTGAAGAATTGAGCACAGCATAACCTGGGTGGGAGCATAGGAATTTGCATCATTCCAAGTCACACAGCTGGTCCACATTGCTGAGTACTGTCTGCACCAGGGTTTCCCAAACTTGGGTCTGCAGCTGTTGTTGTTTTTTGGACCACAGTTCCCATCATCCCTGACCACGGGTCCTGCTAGCTAGGGTGATGGGAATTGTAGTCAAAAAACAGCTGGAGAAGTTTGAGAAATCCTGGTCAACATTGATGGACAGCAGCACTCCAAGGCAGAGGCCTCTCTCAGCTCTTAACTGGAGATGCCAAGGATGGAAACGGGGACTTTCTGCTTCACCTCTGAGCCACACCCTTCCACACATTTCTCAAGATTACAGACCAGCCATGAGCGTGCTGGAAACTCCGCCTGCTGCCTTCTTTATAGGGCACACCTGGTAACTCAGGAATCAAATTCTGAGCTTAGAATAGCAAACTAGTTCTTTGTCGTTTTGTCACTTATGAATGGCCAAATGGTTGCAGAGGAACCCAGTCCTCATCTGATGACCAGTCACATATTATACACAAGAAAGAGCTGTAATTGACATACAATGTGTCAATAAGAAACTATGGGTTGCGTCCCAAGGAAGACATCCCATCAGCGCAAATGCTTCCACCTGCACAACAGGATCTCCCCTCCCCTGTCTCTAAGAAGGGACAGATGTTTGCAGGTAGAATCAACCAGCATATCCATGGCAACACATCTGGCAACCCAGCCAGATGGGTGAGGTATGAATGAATGAATGAATGAATGAATGAATGAATTATTATTATTGTTGTTTGGCAGCTTCTTAGGGCAGGGCAATGACATCTGCATAGCTCACATGGGAGATCTTTCTAGGCATTTTTGCAATGACTCGCCTAACTAGTTGAGCTTCAACGTGAAATCTTCCGGTGCGGAGGCGGGAGAACAGAGAGCTGCACAGCAGCATGATGAAAGGTCAGCCGAACAAAGCCAGAAGCACAATTCGACATGAGTGTGGAGGGAGAAGCCTCAACAGGCAGCATCTCTGGAGCTTCCAATTCATGTTAGCTCAAGACCGGTTTTCTCTCCTTCACTAGCGCAGGAAAGCTGCAGGTCTAAGCCTAGCAGGGCTCGTCGGATTCTCCACTGTCTATGTTTTCCAGATATAAAAGGGCCGAGAGATGCTCAGATGCCTCTTGCCCAAGGCTGAATAAACTCCAGTTCAGTCAGCGCCTCCAGGTGGATTTAGTCCAGATGGAAGGCAAAGGAAAGGCTGGCTGTAGTCACCAGGGAAGCAGTGGATAAAACTCAAGGCGCCAAGTTGGACGTGGGTCGGAGGAGGAGGGGGAGAGTTTCCTGACCAACATACATGAAAGACATACCCAGACTGCCACCTTGTGCTCAGCTGAGGTATGGGAGACGGTTCCAGAAGAACGCACTGTGGCAAGAGTTGCTCCCATTTCGAACATCAGCTCAAGAAACCTCTACCCTTCTGCATGCAAGCACTGTTCCCTCGATGGACAATTCTGCTTTTATTTTTTTAAGGACATCCTTTCCTCCAGTTCCCACAGGATGGAAGACTCTTAGAAGTGAATGCAGGCAACCTCTAGGCCAGGGAAGGGGAATCTCTCTCATCCCGAGGGCCATGCTGCTTTGTAGGAAACCTTCCCAGGGCCACAGTGGTTGTGGCCAGACATGTCCCATCGCATCCTCCCTCCAAGCAAGGAAAATATATTCTTACTACAGTTCAAGGGCACATTCCAGCCCAGTAAAATCTCCCGAGAGGTGGGCACAGAGCAGGGCCAGGGAGGAGCATGGCTTAGGGAAAGGGGAGTGTGGGCTGAGGAGTGCCAAGGGCCAGGCAGAAAAGCTTGGAGGGCCGCATTCAGCCCTGCGGTTCCGCACCCCTGCACTAGGCTCCATTCATTGCCGCTGATAACCTATTTACTGTATGCCACCCACACTGGCATACAGCATGCAAGGAAAGAAACAAAAGAATCTTGCAAGCAAAGAAACAAAATAATTTAATGCATTTAAATAGCAAAGAATGCAAGGGGGGTTTTTTGTTTTGTTTTTAAAGAGATCCGTTTTGCCCGTGACGGTGTGTCAGTCCTACCGTTGGTGGATTTAAGCAGACACACCATAAGGAAACGCGAGGGTTGATTTGTCTGTGTCTCATTACTCATCCATCTCATGCACACACAGAACACCACACACGGCTGTGACCCTATCAGAACCCTCAATCACTGCCCCCCCCCCGGCCACCTCCCTACCCCAAACTCCTTCAGTGGCAGTTGCAGGATTACAACCTCCCCACAGAGCTAAGCAGCAGAAGGACAGCTCTCATCTGCAAGGCGGGAATCCAACAAGCTGGCTGTAGCCATGTAGCTGCTTTTAATTAGATTCTGCCCAGCTCCACCTCGATGGCAAGAGCCCTTCATTAATCTAGATGGGATTTTCTGGTATAGTTTTACACAAAGCCTTCACTGGCTTACACACACCCCTGCGCCTGACTTCCGTTGCTTGTTCTCGACTTACCTGAAGGATTTCAAGTGGGGATAAGAGAATCCGGGCAACGTCCAGCGCCACATTCCCATGTCCCAGGACCACAGCCGTCTCACTGCTCAGGTCTGGTTTCAGCTACAAAAGGAAATGGATTTTTCACCACAAGCACTCCAGCCATCCCCCTCAGTCTTATTACACAGCAGAGATTATCAGCTCTTCAGGATATGCAGTTATGCTTTGCCTGCCCTTCGCCATCTCTTGCAGGACTTCCCATGCCTCCCCGCTCAAAGTCTCTGGAAGAGTTTCCCATGCCTCCCTCTCACAGTCTCTGGCAGAACTTCCACGCCTGTGGATATAGGCCTGTGGACTCCATTTCTCTGTGCTCCAAAGGTGCCACTGTTCTTCTGACCAACTAAAAGCTGTCGCCAGCATCACAACCAATGTGGTTAATTGAAGAAAATCTACCATAGAAGCCACTTAGTCCCATATAACTCAGAGACCAGCCAGTTCGGGGGACCCACTTCAAATCTCCTCAGGTGGGAGCCTTAGGCAAGCCACCATTCCCAAGCCTCCCCATCACATGCAATATTGGGATAACAAAGCTTTTCGTACAGGTTATAGGACAGCCCAATCCTTTTATTTCCTACACTCAAACAGGGGTGGGAGGTGGGGGAAACACCCCACTGGACATACCCCCACTTCCCACCCACCCCTCTTCCCCAAAGCAGAAAAATGCCCCTTCTAGGTTTCCTCATGGCACCTCCAAGAGAGGGTGCCAGCTAATCCCCTCTTACGGACGTGCAAATTGTTCACATGTTCCTAAGGAGGATTTAATTTGATGTCTGCTAATCTTTTCCAATTGCAGGCTTTTCAGCCAGCCACTAATCTGAAGCTGGATGGCTTCTCTGGAACATGTGGAAAGCCTGAAGAGGCTGCCGGGGGTGGGGGTGGGGACGTCCTCCTTACGTCTCTGTTCTCAGGCAGGCCATTGTACCACCCCACGAAGGCTCTGGCTGTATAAACTCCTGCCAGGTCCTCCCCTGGTATCCCCAGGGTCCGATTGTCCTCAGCTCCATAGCTCTGCAGGGGAAAGAGAGGAAATCCACATACATTTTGCAGGACAGCTGGAAGGAATGGCTGGCAACATTCTGCAACACTGCGATGGGTTTCCCCCAACTTAAATTACCCTCATGTTATCTGCAGCAGAGGAGGAGGTGGGAAGACCACGATGACCATAGAACTGTCAAAATCCTGGCAGAGCGGCAATGTTACTTCTCCCTTAGTTCTAGTGTGCTACAAGGGACTTTTGCCGAGATCTCACACTCACATTTATCTGATTGTAATGGACGGCTTGAGCATTTTGAACTTCTAAGCCTCCAGCGATTTGTTTTCCGACTTCTGCATGGGACTTTTTTGTACTCTGGGAGCTTTTCCAGTTCCCAACAGTCAGAACTGAAGCAAAATGGTTCTATTTGGGTATTTTAAATGGTTCCTGTCACTAGGGGGCAGTGTAACAACAACAACAACAACAACTTTATTATTTAACAACTACTACTTTACAGTAGTAAAGTACTTTACAGATGAAGGGCACTGTGGGTTAAACCACAGAGCCTAGGTCTTGCCGATCAGAAGGTTGGCGGTTCAAATCCCCGCAACGGGGTGAGCTCCCGTTGCTTGGTCCCTGCTCCTGCCAACCTAGCAGTTTGAAAGCACGCAGTGCAAATAGATAAATAGGTACCATTCCGGCGGGAAGGTAAACGGCGTTTCTGTGCACTGTTCTGGTTCAACAGAAGCAGCTTAGTCATGCTGGCCACATGAACCGGAAGCTGTACGCTGGCTCCCTCGGCCAATAAAGCGAGATGAGCGCCACAACCCCAGAGTCGGCCACGACTGGACCTAATGGTCAGGGGTCCCTTTACCTTTACCACTTTATTATTTAACCCCCTGTCCATCTGGCTGGGTTGTCCCAGCCACTCTGGGTGGCTTCTAACACATATAAAAATGTGTCTTTGTGGTTTCAGTCCCAGGAAAAAAATAACTAGGGACCTAGCAATGGACACTGTGAGAAGTGGGCACACCTGGACTAAGGTAAAACATAGTCCAACAACTCTGACCATGCCAATATATCTTTGAAAAACCCATGTCTGATCAGGCCTGCCACTGATTCTCCCGCTTAAAAACCAGAGCCAAGCAAACTTACCAAAACTACCGCATGGTACGCTTTCTGCAGCTCCTCTACGGTTACGTCCTTCCCCACAGTCACATTCCCATAAAAGGAGCAGCGGTCGGAATGTGCCGTCTGAGTAAAGGTGTTGATCACGTTCTGTTGCAAGAGGTCAAAAGGGAGAGGTCAGAAGAAGTCGTGTTCCCACATTTGCAGAGAGAACTCCCACAGCACCCAGGCAGGAGACCAGAGTCAGGCCAGAGAACAATGAAGGTCCTCAAAGACCTTGCAGCATTTAAGCCAGCATCTTGCTGCCTCTTCCAAGACTCTTATCTGACAACCGACGAGAACATCTCATTTTAAAACAACATTGTTATCTATGACCTGGCACAAGGCCAGACAGTTTCACTAAAACGGTACATTTATTTATTTTTCGTCCCCCAGCGTATAGTCATAGGAGAAAGATCGGGGGAGGGGAGGATTTCAAGTGCTGTATTCACAGGGGGGAATGTGGGCTTTCTCACCCATCCATTTACAAGCATTTTATCAAAAAAAATTAGACAATGGCAGGCTAGCAACGACCTTGTCCAGACATCAGGGTTTACCACTCCAAAAATCTAGTTACCCATACTATTGCTTTCCATTGAAAATCCTGCAAAATCAAAAGGTGAAGTGCAAAGAAGAAATCTAAACCCATGGAAATAATGCAAGTGCTGCACGTATTACCACTTTTAAAGCACCTGCCCACAGAAGACGGTCCTTGCCTGCAGGTGCACAATCTAATAGACATGGCACAAAAGGTGAAGGGGAAAAAATGTGGAGGGAAGAGGACAAATTCAGATAGCAATTATTGAAGTTACATAACCTGAGCAGCATCATTTGATCAGGACAGGTGGGCATCCCTGCCTTTTAAGTACAAATATATATGCAACCCAGCAGCCCTTAGTCCCTCAACCAATGACAGAATCTACTCTGATTTTCTCTTCAGCTTAGCAATTGGATCCTAGCTATTACTTACCCATCCTGCCCCAAATTCATTCCTCTAGGATATTTCTTCCTTTCACTATAATACCTATGTGACTTGTACAGCTCCCTTTACTAGGCAGGTGGAGAGAGGAGCCATTGGTCTAGCCTGCTTCTTCCCATAAGAAGCCTGCTTCTTCATGCCATAAGGAGGAATATTGCTCCCTCTGACCTAAGATACACACACCCAAAAAACCTGCAGCCAGGGCAAAACGGCTCAGGTGCTCGCAGCTTTTCCAATTCTCCATTTTGCAAAGGTCAAGTGGCTCCTCCCTGTTCAGCATGAGATCCCTCAGCCCTGGATCTCTCCTACTTCTTGTTAACTACTCTGTAGGATCCACATTTGTCTCGACTCTTTTATGGAGAAGCTCACGGCAGCATTTTGGCTTCACTGCAACCTGTGAGGTAAGGGAGGCTGACAGATGGCGACTTGGCCAAGGCAACAGAGTTCAATACTCCACTAAGCAAGGATGTGAATCTGTGCTTCCCCACAGCCAAACCCCAAATCCTGCCCAGAGTGCCAGGCTGGCTCACAGGCATCTGTGTCATTTCATGCAGAAGAAAAGAAAGAAAAGAGTGATTAAAGCAGGAGTGGGGAACTTATGCCCCTCTAGATCAGTGGCGTGGCAACTTGTGGTCCTCCAGGTGTTGCTTAGCAACAATTCCCATCACCCTCAGCTATGCTGGCTGGGGCAAATGGGAGTTGCAGTTGCACAACAACCAGAGGACTATAGGTTAGCCATCCCTGCTCTAGGTGTTGCTGCTGCCACCATCCCAGATCGTCGGCCACGCTGACTGGGACTGACAGGAGCTTGAGGTTAACAATATCTAGAAAAGCACAGGTTGGTTTTAAGGAAAGAGATGTTCCCAAGCTACTATTTACCTTTACTTCAGGGTGGTCCGGAGCTACTCCAAAACGAACAAGGCCAAAGGGAACAGGCAACTTCTCATATATATCCACCTGAGCCAGTTTGTGGTGCTAGGGAGGAAATTAAGTTGGATTAACACATGTAGCTGATAGCGGTGGGGCGGGAGACACAGGAAAAGTTGAAATTAAATTGACTGAAGCTATTATACAGTTGAAATAGGCCATATGCAACAGCTGCTGTTGCAGCAGTTTAATGCAACTCCTATTTTTACTTTTTGAACAGACAGTTTTGAGGTCCACTTACTCACTAATCGCTGTGGACGCCACCCATTACATTACTTCCTTTAAAAAACCCCACATCTTCTGCTGGATGATGGCAGTATCTAGAAGGCTCCATGAAGTTGGTGGGGATCAAAGCATAACCACTTCAAGTCAGCACTGACACCATCTTGGGAGTTCCCAGGACCGATGCAGCCACCTGGTCTGGAGTTCTCACAAAGCAGAACCCAACATCCATATGTGTTCACTTTCAATTTACTTCAATTACAATTAGCAACTTCAAACATTCCACTTTTCAGAGGTTTATCTCGGAACAGGTCTTCTTGCCTAAACCAGGGAAATGTGGGTTCTCTCCTCCTTTACTGCAGCCACAAGGAGGAGCTTGAAAGCTTTCCCTTCTGTTTTCAGTTTACTGTGGTTTTCTGTAATGCCAGAACCTGGAACTGTGGCTAAACTTAACTACCACTTAGGAAACGGGATCCTAAACCACAGTTTGAAGTTGGCTTCTTTCCCTCAAGCATAGATAAGATTGACCACTGTTTGTCCAGGTTTAGCTGTAACACACAACCGCGGCTTGTAGGAAACTGAAGCAAAAGCTTCTGATCTTCACCTTGCAACTGTGCTAGAGGAGGAAAGAGCCTGATGCACAATCACGTAACACTAACACTATAGTTCAGTGTTACGTCCAAAACACAGCCACCGTGTTCCAATAATGTAATGCCTTTTTCTTAAATCTTAGTGCTCTTTATTCATTGCCGCATAATGTGTATTTAACAAGCGGCAGGCTGCAGTCCCAAATACTGGGGAGTGAATCCCATCAGACTTAATGGGATTTGTTCTGAGTAAACATGCTCAGGGTTGCTTTGTTAGGAAAGGAACTACAATAGATCTCAGTTAATTACCAGATACTTGTGAACCAGTTGGAACCATCCATTCGTGGATGAGCTCCGGAACGTGCTAAACAGTACAATACAGAACAGCTCATCACAACTGCCACCTTCTAACCCAAAGAGCTGCCTGTTATTGGAATACAGATTGGCAAAGGGACGAGACCTCGATTCAGTTATAAATATGTATGCGAGGTTTTGAACTTTGGGGACATTATTGTTTCTCGGAGAGACTTCCCTCACGACCTGGTAAATTATTTGCTTTTGATCATCCTTTGCCTGGGGATTTCGGGGTAAATCTTAACACTGCAATTGTTTCAGCAGAAGTGGGAACTCTGGGAAGGGGGCTAGAATCTAAAGTAGGCACACACTTTGAAAATTCGGTTAGAGAATACTATGCATTTAAAGATGCTTCCCACCAGGTAACAAAATGTCTCCCACCAGACAGCTATTATGGAATCCAACAACAACAAACCCAAAACCCTGGGAATGATGGGGTTGTATTCAAAAGCTGTTTGTGCCCAAGTGGAAGTGACTTCAACTCCTGCAATGGGACATTACCTCTCTCCTTTCCCCTCCCATGTCCTCAGGGTTGGGGGATCAGTATGCTTCTGATTACCAGCTGACAAGGACAGTACATTTGTGAGCAGGTCCTCTTTCCAGGTTTCCTACAGGAATCTGGCTGGCCACTGCGAGAATCGGATGGTTCTCTGGTCTGATCCATCCGGGTTCCTCTGAGCAGCACTCACAGAACTACCATCCCTATGGTTCTTCAGGAGGAAGCGGTGAGACTTTAATCAACTGAAAACAAGCTTTAAATGTGGAGGACAGATTTAATGTTGGCTTGTAGCAATTCAGCATGGCCCCGCATTACAGCGTATTAGAAAGCCAGTGTGGCGCAGTGGTTGGGGTGCTGGACTAAGACATGAGAGTCAAGGGTTCTAATCCCGACTCATCCACGAAGCTCACATGGTGACCTTGGGCCAGTCACAAGTCTCCATCCTACCCCACAGGGTCGTTGTGAAGATAAAACGTGTCGGCAGTGGAAATCGTGGGTAGGACTCAACTAACAAAGCCCCACAAATGGAAGGGCCTTTGCTAGCACAACGGGCCTTTGCCCCACCTCCCCCACTGGCCTTGGCAGAACCCCCGGAACAGGGAGGGAGGGAGGAGAGGGTAAAAACTGTCCCATTAGGCAAGCAGAAATGTTTGTGGTGACGGGAGCAATCTGCTTAGCACCACACAGAATTTCTCCCTGCGAATGCCTCCTAAGGCAAGATAGGAATGCATGCAAATTCCTTTTGACAATCTGAAGCCACAGTAGTAACTCCATGAGCAGTACCGTTGTAGGGGGTTAAGATGAGGTAGAGATATTCCTCCTCCAGGCTCCAGCGGGGCGGGAGAGCAGGAGGTCTGCCCCTGCCCAAGCCCCAACTGTACCTGGCAAAAGCCAGTAGAACAGGGCAACGCAATTCAAAGCTGCTCCTCCACCCCCAGAGAGGAGGCTGATATTTGCCCCTGCTCTGCTGCACCAACGTGAAGCTAGCGCAGCAAAAGAAGCATGCATGCACATGCACACATGCGCAGACACCCCTTGTGGCCAGCAGGGTCTGGGTGCAGTGGAGGACCTGATGTTACGTTCCTCCCCAGCCAGTCTTAGGACTGCCATGCCGGAGGACTTTCACAAGCCTTGACACAAACGCAGGACACAAAACAAGGCTGGGGAAGCCAGAGCTACTCTTGCAGAGACCCACATTTTCAGCTACGCTGGCATCACACGTCAAGAGCTCGCCCTGAGCAGGGAGAGCGATGCCCTTGAACATGCTGGCACCCATTCCAGGATCAGTTTGTTATGCCTTTCAGGATTATCCTTCACAGTCGAATTTTGCAGCTGAGGGCGAGCAACAGGAACATTGTTTTCCCAATTTCAACCAAGAGGGAGAGAGAGAGAGCTCTTGAAGTTCAAAAGGATAGCAGTGGAGGCGGGAGAGAGAAGAGTGATCCTAATTTAATAGCATCACAACCAGTACTGCAAGAAGCAGAACACTTTATTCCCAATTACAGTCTCTTCCATATTCTGAACCGGCCTTCCAGCGAAAGATTTCCATCCCTCCAAGAGTCTCTGATGTGCTAATTAACCTACCTGACCTGGCTATACACAAGCACAGAAAATCCTTTTTTCTTTTTACTATTTGGATCTAATCACCCTTGCAAAAAAAAAAAAAGTTGTGTGAAGCTTGCTTTCTCTTTTCGGGTCCAAAGCGTTGTCCCAATCAAAGGAATCGCCTCTACCATCAAAACTTGCAATCTCATGCAAGGCTTAAGGCCAAGATCTGCTAAGCATTTCAGACAGTGGGTGTGAAATTTTCTAGTTTAGAATCCCTCTGCAGTAGACCCTTAACCAGGAGTAAGTCCTATTGAATTCAGTGGGGCATACTTCTGAATAGACAAATGCAGGGTTTTCTCTGTTATTATCTGTGGAGCCTCCACGAAAGGAGGCTCACCAAAAACCTGCTATTAACAGTGTCCAGTTAAGAGATGAAGGTTGCAATCTACACAGGCATAGTAAGTACCAAGGAACTGAGCCTAAATGCACAGGATTGCATTTTTGCTCACACTAATGTATGAGGATGGATTTTTTAAAAATATTATTTGGGAATGGCTATTGTAGTTGTTGCTGTTTTTTATCCTATTACATGGTACAGGAAGCAAACCCTTACATCTGCTTCTCAGTGACTTACACACAGACACACACAAAGAGGGGAAATGCTACTAATCGCCTGTGATCTTGCAGGTACTATTCAACAGACACCCAGTCAGAATAATAATAATAATAATAATAATAATAATAATAATTTATTATTTATACCCCACCCATCTGGCTGAGTTTCCCCAGCCACTCTGGGCGGCTTCCTATCGAGAGTTAAAAACAATACAGCATTAAATATTAAAAACTTCCCTAAACAGGGCTGCCTTCAGATGTCTTCTAAAAGTCTGGTAGTTGTTTTTCTCTTTGACATCTGATGGGAGGGCATTTCACAGGGCGGGCGCCACTACCCAGAAAGCCCTCTGTCTGGTTCCCTATAACCTCACTTCTCGCAATGAGGGAACCGCCAGAAGGCCCTCGGCGCTGGACCTCAGAATGTTTTAAATCAAACCACAAGGAAAAGCAATTGGTCCTAAAACATTCCAATCTAAAACAAAAATAGATAACTATGTGTTTTTTGTATTTTAATGCTTGCCTAAGCGTTTCACTAACAAACATACAACAGAGCCACCAAAATACCCAATAATATAGAAACGAGCTAAAATGCCAACTCTCCAAACGTTTTTTCAGCTACTCAGGTCTTCTCCAGCAGTTTAAGCACATTAAAAAGAATCCTACAAGAGTTGGAAGGGACCATGGGAGTCATCTAGTCCAACCCCCTGCAAGGGAGGAATCTTTTGCCCAATGTGGGGCTTGAACCCACTTCCCTGAAATTAAGAATCTTTTGCACTACTGACTGAGCTAAGAAACCTTGTTCTTGCTCATCTGGGCCTACATATTAATCATGCCCCCAAGTTCTGGTATGTTTCATGCACACAATAGAGCTATGATGGATCAAAAAGGAAGACAATATGCATGTTTGGGTCTCTTGGGCCTTTGTGCACATTTTTTTCTGCTTTAGCCAACAGAGGCCTTGGCATCATGATAAGAGTAGCGGAAAAGCAGATGTGAAGCCAAAACAAAGGTGACAGAATAGCACATTTTGGCAAACCGGCACTGGAATGTGACAAAATGCCCTGTGTGGAGAACTGCCGACACAGCAGGGTCCCAGGTGCTCAATTCTCCACCCCCTCCCAAATTAATTAATTAGTCTTTTTCTACTCTATACAGTGGTACCTCAGGTTAAGTACTTAATTCGTTCCAGAGGTCTGTTCTTATCCTGAAACTGTTCTTAACCTGAAGCACCACTTTAGCTAATGGGGCCTCCTGCTGCCACTGTGCCGCTGTGCAATTTCTGTTCTCATCCTGAAGCAAAGTTCTTAACCTGAGGTATTATTTCTGGGTTAGCGGAGTCTGTAACCTGAAGCGTATGTAACCCGAGGTACCACTGTATACGTAGTCATGTCGGCTGCATGAACAGTAAAATTAATAGAAAGTTCCTGGTTCCATTACTGAATGATCTTAAGACGTAAAGGGATTTTTTAAGGTTGTTCTTTTGCAGAGTTTTCTGCCCCCCCCTTCTTTCTTGCTTCACGATTGCATTCCATATGGATTTTCATATCACTTAATAGAGTCATACCTCGGAAGTTGAACAAAATCAGTTCCGGAAGTCCGTTCGACTTCTGAAACATTTGACTTCCAAAGCGCAGCTTCCGACTGGCTGCAGGAAACTCCTGCAAACAATCGGAAGCTGCGGAAACCCCGTCGGACATACGGCTTCCAAAAGAACTTTAGAAAACCGGAACACTCACTTCCAGTTTTCGATTGTTTGGGAGCCGGAACATTTGACTCCCAAGGCATTCAGGAACCATTAAGCTTTGGATAGTATTATAACAAAGTGAGCAACTGCAGTCCTTTGTTGCCTCCTTTCCACATGATAAGCCATCAAAGCCCCAAAGAGAGAATTTGGAACACATGTATTAAGTGAATTCTTCACCCTCCAGGGATAATCATTGCCAGCAAATAAGAGTCATAGAATAGTAGAGTTGGAAGGGACCACAAAGGTCATCTAGCCCAACCCCCTGCAATGCAGGAATATTTTGCCCAATGTGGGACTCGAACCCGTGACCCTAAGAATAAGAGTCTCGTGCTCTACCGACTGAGCTATCTAAGCTCCTGCTTCCAGAAGCCACAGTGGAGATAAGAAGCCTTTGTAAGTATGCCAATTACCTTCAGAAGGTGTTGTGCCGTGTAGAATCCAGCAGGTCCACTGCCTACAATACATATCCGAGGTTCGGTCTTGGCTGTGGAAAGGAGCCTCTTGTTGCCTGAGAACAAAACTGGGGGGAAGACAACAGAGAAGTCACACGAAAAGCAAAAAAACAAAAACCACAGTGGTCCATAGCTGGTAGGTTCAATCCAGCTGCAGAAATGTGCACCTGGCCTGGAAAATAATAATATATCACTGGAAAAGTGATATATACACACCCCTTCAGTTCCAGCCTGATTGCTGTCAAAAGTGGCTATCAGCAAACAAAGCAGAACCAAACCCCATGGAAGTGGAGCAGAAACAGTGGGGCAGGAAGAAGACCCCCTTACAACAAGGGGGCTTATGGCCCACTGTTTCCACGTTCACCTTGCCTGCTGATCACCACTATCGGCTTATTCAGCTTGCAGAATGAAGCACAGAAGCATAGAGTTGTAAGTGTGCAATATTTTCAATTCCCCAACCATCCCCTCCTCTAGCCATCCTTGCTCAGAGTTAACATATAGAGAAAATGTTATTCTTGTGTCTGTGAATTTTATTCCCCTCATGGGGGAATGAAGGGAAGTTTTCTTTCTGCAGTTCTCTCACTGTGAAGTTCTCTTTCTGCAGTTCTCTTACTGCACATAACTGTTGCATTGTGGGAAGTCTTACTATGAAATCTTTCTATGCTCACTATGAGCACTATTGCTTCTTTCTCTCTTACATTCTGGGAAGTTTTTGCCTCTGCACATAAGTCTGAGAATGTTCTGAACAGTTCCCATTGAGTTCATGAAACAGTGTATCCTGACCTGTTCTTAATGCATTGCTGACCACATTTACGGAACGTGATTGTTGTATTCCTTCATGTTATGTTCTCTCAATATTAATCTTAGTTACAATTTAATTAGGAGGATTCATGCCTGTCTAGTTCCAGCTCCGCTCCCAGTCTTTTGAACTATCACTGATTAATGTAAAATGTAATGCCCGCCTTGTACCTATGTTAACCAATCAGCAACAAGATGCTTTGTGTTTGTATCAGCCAATCAGCCACAAGCACACCTGTGGCAATGTTTGTAATATTCAATAAAGAGAGTTCCCAGGACTTGCCCCGGGCAGACGTCTCTCCTTTGACACCCACCATTCGTCTGTCGTGATTTCAACCCAACATCTGGTGACCCCCGACGTGCCAGATCCCTTACGCAGCCAAACCTCATACTTCACCCGACTGGAAAAGTCTCAGCGCGCTACTTCGTGAGTATGGGAGGGACTTGACTAAGCTCCAGAAAGAGCATGCTAAAGAGTTGCTTTATTTAGTTAGACAGCGGGAGGTGGGTGTTAATATTTCCTTAAAAGAAATTGAACAATTGCTATGTGAGATATCTTGCCAATTTCCCTCCTATCCTGAAAAAGGATCTTTGGACGTAGAGACTTGGCAAAAGATCGGAAAGACCCTTTTTGCAGAACCTAGGGCTCCGATTCATTGTCTGCTCACTTGGCAGAGATGTGCTGATGCCGTCGCTAAATTACCACAGGCGTCTCGCCCGCCACCAGCACTTTTCGCCGTCGCAGACAATCCCCCCCCTTACCCGAACCATTTACCTCCTCCTCCTGTGCAGCCCAGCCAATCCCTCCCTGCGTCTCACCCTCCTCAACCTGCATCCTCCCCCCCCATCCCTCCGCCTCAGCCTGCATCCTCCCCCCCCATCCCTCCTCCTCCTGCCACAGCCCCTGTTTGCTCTACAGGAGCTGTGCGTGCTGCGCTCTCTCTGGCAAGGCAAAAAGGGCTCCTGTCCTTAGAGGAGGAGTCTGAGTGGCCAGGTGAAATGCCGTCTGCTTTCCCTATCTCTTATTCAAACCCTGGAACTGCTCAACAGCAGATTTATTATGAATCGCTTCCTTATTCTGTAATGAGGGAATTAAGGAAAGCCATTGCTGATTCTGGTCTGAAATCCTCTTATGTGACAGGGATGCTAGAAGGCATAGCAACTGGTTACATTATGCTACCTCAGGACTGGAAAGACCTGATGCGCATGCTTTTGTCCCCTGCTCAGTATGTGGTGTTTGAGAGTGAATTTAAACATAGCGCTTCAGCCCTGTCTGATCCTCAACATACTGCCAATGAACTTTATGGTGCTGGTCAGTTTGCTGATATAACTGCCCAAGCAACACTGACACCTGTACATTTTGTTCGCACCGCGACCTGTGTACAACGCGCCTTTCGGAAAGTCCCTGTTTCTGGGCAACCGCTGAGCTCCTTTGTAAATATTAAGCAACAGCATTCGGAGCCATACCATCAGTTTATAGATAGATTGAAAGAATCAGTCACTAGGCAGATTGATAACACCACTGCTCAAAATGAATTGATGAAGAAATTGGCCTTTGAAAACGCAAACACTGATTGCAAGAAAGCTTTACAGTCAATCATACATCGCCCTAAATATGAACTGGCCGATATGATTCAAGCTTGTGCGGATGTCGGTAGCCAGAGCCATGCGATGTCCTTGCTTGCCGGCGCAATCCAAGCAACCACTAAGCCTACTGGTAACTGCTTTAATTGCAAGCGCCCAGGCCATTTTGCCAAGCAATGCAGAGCCCCTGGCGGGGGGGCACACAAGGATGGTGCTGCCTCTAAGGCTAAACCTTCTGATTTTGCCATTGATTTGATCAATCAAGAGACCAAAGACTCTGTTCTACCTGGTGAAATTGTGCTTATGCCCACTCAATTGGCAGGTCCCCTGCCTCCTAAAGTCGCAGGTTTAATTTTACCCAAATTTTCTGCGGCAAAGGAAGGAATCCAGGTTATTCCTGGAGTTCTGGATCCTGACTATGTAGGCACAATAATGGTTCAACTCTGGAGCCATATGCCCATGCAATTAAAAAGGGTGAGTCTTGGGCGCATTTGGTGGTGCTCCCTTCTCATCCTACTGCTTCTATTATGGATACTAATTTGCACGAGCTCTCTTCTTTCCCTCCACAGCTGTTAGCTGTAGTCCAGAGGATTGGTGAGAAGAAACTTCTTCGTAAGTATAAAATCAATGGTATTGAGCTGGAAGGCTTGATTGACACAGGCGCAGACGTTTCTGTAATTTCTAGTAGTTGCTGGGACCCCACGTGGCCCCTTGAGTCTGCCTCTGCAGTCTGGGGTGTGGGTGGCCCCCAAACCTCTTCCAAAAGCGTACAGTGGCTGCCTGTCTCTCTGCCTGATAGCTCTGAAACCATTGCTTACATCCAGCCCTGTGTGCTGAAAATCCACCTCAATCTGTGGGGAGAGATTTACTACAACAATTACAAGCTACCATTCAATTTAATGAGTAAGCTTGCACTTCCCCTCAACTGGAAATCTTCTGGTCGTGTCCTGGCTATACGTTTAATTACATTCCAGCAAACATCAGCCATGGCACACCTTGCTGTTTAAGCCGTTTGTCCATCATTTTATCACCGCAATATTGAATTGACTAATGATTGTGATGCTTTTGTCTCTCTTCTCAGTAGGTCTGAATATATCTCATTAGTTGCTTCTCTCTTAGAAATCCCTGGATTGGCTGTACGGAATCGTGTGAACATTACTTCTTTAGCTTGTTATGCAGCAAAAAACTCTGAATTATATTTCACAAGCCCTTCACCTTTTGAATAAAGAACAGTGCACTCCACAATGGACTTTTACAAAATCCTTTTACAAAATGGACTTTTACATTATATAACCCCCTTTTGAATAAAGAACAGTGAACTATATAATGGACTTTTATGAAATCGTGCTGCTATCACTATTTGCTCATGCTTCATCATTATGGCTGTGAACAAGTGAATGACATGTGTTGCTTCAATATTACTGACAATTCAAGAGCCATTCAAAGCCAAATCTCTCATTTGCAAAATCTTACACATCACATTAAACAGGACATTGGTTTTCCTGGCCTCTGGGATTCTTTCACCCAGTGGCTTACCGCTTGGTTGCCAAACCTTACTTGGCTTCGTAATCTTTTTCAATATGCTATTGTTATAATATGTTTATTAACTTTACTATGCTGTTTCTTTCAATGAGTTCCTAGCCTCATGAGTCTCTTCTCTCGGCTTCTCTCCCCCCCTCCACCACCCAGCAAACTGCTTGCTGCTTACATTGCGAAATGGCAACACCAACAGTAAACCTTAGGGGAGATGTGGGCGGATTTATTTTGGGCATGCGCTGGCAAACCACGTATCCTGAAGTACTTTTGTCCCATCGACCCTGGCAGGCTTATTTCGGGCATTCGCTGGCACACCACTAATCCCGAAGTATTTCTGCCTTATCCACCTGGAATGCCTCGCAAACAAGAAAAGAAAGGGGAGATGAAGGGAAGTTTTCTTTCTGCAGTTCTCTCACTGTGAAGTTCTCTTTCTGCAGTTCTCTTACTGCACATAACTGTTGCATTGTGGGAAGTCTTACTATGAAATCTTTCTATGCTCACTATGAGCACTATTGCTTCTTTTCTCTCTTACATTCTGGGAAGTTTTTGCCTCTGCACATAAGTCTGAGAATGTTCTGAACAGTTCCCATTGAGTTCATGAAACAGTGTATCCTGACCTGTTCTTAATGCATTGCTGACCACATTTACGGAACGTGATTGTTGTATTCCTTCATGTTATGTTCTCTCAATATTAATCTTAGTTACAATTTAATTAGGAGGATTCATGCCTGTCTAGTTCCAGCTCCGCTCCCAGTCTTTTGAACTATCACTGATTAATGTAAAATGTAATGCCCGCCTTGTACCTATGTTAACCAATCAGCAACAAGATGCTTTGTGTTTGTATCAGCCAATCAGCCACAAGCACACCTGTGGCAATGTTTGTAATATTCAGTAAAAGAGAGTTCCCGGGACTTGCCCCGGGCAGACGTCTCTCCTTTGACACCCACCATTCGTCTGTCGTGATTTCAAGCCAACAGGGGAAAGTGAACTTGTGCCTCCTTTATTACTAAGCATCCCAAACCCTACCAGTTAATTTAAAAAATAGCAACAATTGTTCCTATAAGCAGTTATCAGCACAGTTTGGATAAGCAGCTGTGAATCCAATATACCCACAAAATGCATGTCAAAGGAATTAGAGGGGGCCTTACACTTATTGTAACAACCTCATGGTGATAATAAGCTACCTATTATATTGGGGGGGGGCACCAGTCACAGCATTGCATGGGTTTGCACTGTAGTATTTTATATTTCCCCCATGATCCAAGTCCTTGACAGCTTGCTTATCCATGACAAATAATAGGGTTCATACTCTCATCCCCTTTGTGCCCCAGCAGCAATGCTGGTTTGAAATATCTCCTTCACGACAGCAATACAATCCAGAGGCCAAAGATCATCAGTTACCACACGTGACTTAATCAAAAAGGTGAAGGTCTAGAGATCGTAGCCTTCCCACTCCCCCACCCCAGCCTACAAAGACCTTGGCAGTCACTGATAATTTTTACACTGTGAAGTACAAAGATAGCCCTATTCCCCAGCACGTCACTGAGTCTAACATTTTGACGAACTGTCCCTGAGATTTTATGGGTTGTTGTTTTTTATCAGTTTGGGTTGCGCAAGCATTACTTGCTTCAGAACTGCTAGACTTGCTTGGATCTACAGCCTGCCTAAACTTGTATTCCAGTTCCAACCGGGGCCAATATTAGAAGCTTGAAAACAGAGACTGAGAACCAGTGTAACCTCGGGTTACATACACTTCAGGTTACAGACTCCGCTAACCCAGAAATAGTACCTCAGGTTAAGAACCTTGCTTCAGGATGAGAACAGAAATCGTGCTCCGGTGGCGCGGCAGCAGCAGGAGGCCCCATTAGCTAAAGTGGTGCTTCAGGTTAAGAACAGTTTCAGGTTAAGAACGGACCTCCAGAACAAATTAAGTTCTTAACCCAAGGTACCACTGTATTTGTGCTTCACGCACGGCCCTAAGATGCCCATGAAATGTACGTTACCTAAGCGGGTCCAAGACAGAACAGCAGCACCATATCCAATTCCAGTAACGCTGCACCTAACCCCAAACTCACCCCTGCACATGAATGCAGAAAATCTCTGGTGTACCCTGGTTTGCACACACTCCAAATGCCACAAAACCGACAAGATCAGACAAAACATCTCTCCCTCTCTAGTCCGGCCTCCTGTTCCCACAGTGGCCAACCAGAACCCACAGCAGCAGGACATGAGCACAACAGCCCTCACCCCTCATAGTGCCTCTGGTCCTGGAGAGAGCATAAATAGCAGCCACCCTGACTAGTAGCCACCGACAAGGAATTTGATACCAAACACTTTTTCAAGCTATGCACGCCAGTTGGCTTCCCACGCTCTGGACTAACAACGGTGGGAGAAAGAAGCACCTTCTAAGCCACTGGGGGTTAGTAGCATCAAGCAACGCCTGGGCAGATCACACAGGCAACCCACACTACTGGCCTTTCAACTGCCACACCTCTGGAGCATGGAAAGGCCAAAGGGGCAGCAGCATAGGCTTCAGCTCATGTGGCCTACGGCCTCAGGTGTGCCCAATAAGGGCACCAACTTGCCCCTCCTCCTGCTGTTGCTGGGATAGCAGAGTTGGTAGAGCATGAGACTTCATGCTGACCTTCAAAGCCCTAAATGACCTCAATCCTGTATACCTGAAGGAGCATCTCCACCCCCATCATACAGGCCGGACACTGATGTCCAGCACCGAGGGCCTTCTGGCGGTTCCCTCACTGTGAGAAGCCAAGTTACAGGGAACCAGGCAGAGGGCCTTATTGGTAGTGGCACCCGCCCTGTGGAACGCCCTCCCTTCAGATGTGAAGGAAATAAGCAGCTATCTTATCTTTAAAAGACATCTGAAGGCAGCTCTGTTTAGGGAAGTTTTTAATATTTAATGCTGTATTGTTTTTAACACTCGATTGGAAGCCGCCCAGAGTGGCTGGGGAAACTCAGCCAGATGGGCGGGGTATAAATAATAAATTATTATTATAATTATTATTCATCTCAGGGTTGTGGGTTCAAGCCCCACATTGGGCCAAAAGATTCCTGTATTGCAGAAGGTTGGACTAGATGACTCTCTGAGATTCCTCACACACATATTCCCTGCGGCCCGGACTTGGGCGCCTCCCTCTCCCTGTTTCTCCACCCTGCCAAACAGCCAAGTTCTGGGACAGTTCCCTTGGTAAAAGCCTGGGACTCTTAATATCTCAGGGTTGTCTGTTCAAGTCCCACGCTGGGCAAAAGATTCCTGCACTGCAGGGGGTTGGACTGGATGACCCTGGGGGTCCCTTCCAACTCGACAGTTCTACGATTCCGTTCTTCTACCTTAGTCTTTCAGCAGATCGGGAGCAAGGTATCGCTTTCGTTTCTTGCTATGCCGTTTATCTTTTGCCTTTTTATATTGCAAACCGCCCTGTGACCGTCGTGCGGTACAGAATTTTAATTGATATTAAGAACAACCAAGCATGCAATCAAATGACGCCCCCCACTTATAGGGTCCCCCCCCCAAAAAATAATTCCAACAGCTGCCCCGCTTACCGGCTCCGGAGGGAGGCCGCTCTCCCGCGAGGGCTCCGCTAGGCAGAGAAGAGCGGAGCGCGCTCGCCCTCCTCCAGCGAAGGATCCCCCCGGCGCGGCTCATCCTGGCAAGCGGCGCGGCGGCATCGAACCCCGGCGCCTGTCCCGCCGCTTTAGTCTCCTCTCGCCCGGAGAACGCCGCGACCAATCGCAGGGCGCGAGGGGACGTCCTTAGCGTGGGTCCGCCCACGCGCCGCCGGACGGCTCCGTTCTCGTCCCGCCCCTCGGTCAGCCAGAGGGCCAATCGCGCCGAGCGCAAGTTATTTAGCATAGGACCGGCCCAACCCGGAAATTCAGAGCGCGGCCGCAGGAGGAAGCACGTGACGGAATGCGCCTCTCCTGCCTTGGCCAGGTGGGCTGCGGAACTCTATGGTGCATCCTCCGCGAAAAAGGGGTATCGATTCTTCCCCCAGCTGCATGGGAAGCATTGATAAGTAAAGGTAGCTACGATCATGGGCGTAGCCAAGGGGGCGGGGCAGACCCCCCCCCCAAATAAATCAAAATCAATAGAAATCTGAGGTTCTGCCTCTCCGTAACTAAAATCCTGGCTACACCTATGGCTACGGTGATGGGGAATAACCACACTTGCCCAGCCCTGAGTTGTATTCTGTTCAACAGTGAGTGGACAATTGACTGTCCACGTGCAGCAGCAGCAGCCCTGCCTCGTAATAGGGCTTTAATCCACCCTGGTCCATACTAATTCTTCTTTATCGCAAACTAAGCCATATGATTTGCAGACAGCATGCATGAATTCCCTTGCTAGGAACAACATAGATTTGTTTTCTCGTACACCACTAGATGTGAAACGTAAATGTGGAGCCCTACAATACAGAAGTGCAAATTGCATGTTGTTGTCACTGCCTTGCCGTGGCGAAGGGGCTTGAATAACTCAAGAGAAGCTATGAGCTATGCCGTGCAGGGCCACCCAAGATGGACAGGGCATAGTGGAGAGTTTTGACCAAACGTGATCCACCTGGAGAAGGAACCAGCAAGCCACTCCAGTATCCCTGCCAAGAAAACTCCATGGACAAAGACAACAGGCACATTGTTGTGGTGGTGGTTATTATTACTATTATTATTATTGTACCCCACCCATCTGACTGGGTTGCCCCAGGCACTCTGAGCAGCTTCCAGCATACAGTGGTACCTCGGGTTACATACACTTCAGGTTACAGACTCCGCTAACCCAGAAATAGTACCTCGGGTTAAGAACTTTGCTTCAGGATGAGAACAGAAATTGTGCTCCGGCGGCGCAACGGCAGCAGGAGGCCCCATTAGCTAAAGTGGTCCTTCAGGTTAAGAACAGTTTCAGGTTAAGAACAGACCTCCGGAACGAATTAAGTACTTAACCTGAGGTACCACTGTATACAAAAACATCAAACGTAAAAAACTTCCCTATACAGGGCTGCCTTCAGATGTCTTCAAAAGGTTGTATAGTTACTTATCTTCTTGACATCTGATGGGAGGGGGTTCCACAGGGCGGGCGCCACTACCAAGAAGTCCCTCTGGCTAGTTAATGATTAATACAGCCTCTTTCCTCTTCCATTGCTTTCTACCTTAACATTAGCTAGATAAGTGTGCTGCTAAGGGAAACCGCCAGGTGTAAGAAACGTTTAGACTGGATCACTGTTGTGTGTGATAGAGGACCTTGGTGTGACACCTGAGGATGCCAAGCCCTAAGAGTTACTTGTCTAGTAATATAAACTAAATACAGGGGTACCTCGGGTTAAGTACTTAATTCGTTCCGGAGTTCCGTTCTTAACCTGAAACTGTTCTTAATCTGAAGCACCACTTTAGCTAATGCTGTTGCGCCGCCGGAGCACGATCTCTCTTCTCATCCTGAAGCAAAGTTCTTAACCCGAGGTAATATTTCTGGGTTAGCGGAGTCTGTAACCTGAAGTGTATGTAACCCGAGGTACCACTGTAGTGCCTTCTGAATTGGGTGCAAAATGCTGTCCAATCACAGTCAGTTTCATAAAACTTTAATGTTATATAACCTTTATAATGTCAAACAGGAAACACTTATTACATTTTTGTTCCACCATTCCGCCTTCAGGAGGTATGGATGTTTCTCTCTCATCCCTCATTTTACCTTGATAAAATCCTTGTGAGATAGTTTAGACTGAGAGATGGTGGTTGGTTCAAGGTTATTCAGTGAGTTTCATGGCCAAGCGAGGGATTTGAAGCTGGGTCTCCCACATCCTTGTCTGACACACTGATTTTTCCACAGACTCACTAGCTCCGCACGTCAAATGTTAATGGTAAAACTGAAGGTCGAGATATAGCTGGAATCTTTTCTGGTCAACAACCCTTTATGGATGCTAATCTGAGTCATTGCTGTTCCACAGTCATCTGGAACAGTACTTTGGAAAGCAGAATACTATTTATTACTTTGAAATTTTCTTCACAGCTCGTTCAGCAGAGCCAAGCCCCCACCCCCCAGTTGTACATACGGCTACATTTGTACTGTAAATCATGTTGTTTCCAAAGAGGTATCCAGCCTGATTCCGTGCATGTTTAGTTGGAAAGAAGTCCATTTACTTTCAAGTAAGTAGTAGCATTCTCTGTGATACTGCAGTATTCGCTCAATATTCAAGTTGACAAAATCATATACATATCAACACACTAGACTTCTTGTCTATCCCGTTGTATATTCCTTTTTTTACAAATGAATGTACTTTTTTAATTGTATATTTCTTTACATTTTATCTAATACATTCCTATATCAATATGTGCTCTTATTCTTATTTCTCAACTCAGTCTCACTCCAACGTCAATCAAATGCTAGCATAGATAACAAACCTTTACTGTATTTTTGAACATATCTTTTATATCTATCCCACTTTTCCATAAATTTTTGTTTTGAATTGCCTCTCAGGGTATTTGTTAACTGCGCCATTTGTTTTTGTTTTTTCTCTTTGTTCTTTCTTTTTTTTGTTTTTGTTTGTTTGTTTCATTTTTTTTCTAGGTATATAAAATTTGTATATAATTTTTGTATACATGTTGGAAATTATATTATAGTAAGTCCTGTAATGTAATATAACAACGTTTACTGATGTAATATAAGAATGTTAACAAATAGATAAAATGCAAATACAATATATATATATATATTCAAGTTGACATAGCTGTTATCCTGCCCCCAAATCTGGCTTCCTTAGTCACAGCTACCTCTTTTTTTTCTTCTTCTTTTTGGTCATCAGTTACATGTTGAAGGATTTTTTGTTCCCAGGACAAACCATGCCTTTAGAAGTCTATTTTTATTAAAGACCTTGAAGCCATAAATAAATACTTCCTAAAAGGTCTGCTAGATAAGCCACTCACAGAAAGAAAAAACAAGGCTATATTTATCTGCCTAAAATAGACCATATTTTCCCTTTCATCTTCTCTTGAAGTCATTGATCTGCAGAATTGCCAATTATTCAAGATTTCAGCATGAATGATAGGAAATGTGCCCCAGCACAAATGTTGCTAGTTCTGTCTGTTCTCCCTTAATTTAATAGCCAAGAAGAGCATAAAAACATGACCTAGGTTTATTTCAAGTCAAGCTGTTGCAATCCACTACTTGTTATGCCACAATATGTGGGTTTTTACAACACTGAGTATAATGCAAAAATTATATTCTTTATAATTTCAAGTGTCTTCTGATTTCTCACTAAACTGATACAGTGGTACCTTGGGTTACATACGCTTCAGGTTACAGACGCTTCAGGTTACAGACTCCGCTAACCCAGAAATAGTACCTCAGGTTAAGAACTTTGCTTCAGGATGAGAACAGAAATTGTGCTCCGGCGGCGTGGCAGCAGCAGGAGGCCCCATTAGCTAAAGTGCTTCTTCAGGTTAAGAACACTTTCGGGTTAAGAACGGACCTCCAGAACGAATTAAGTTCTTAACCCGAGGTACCACTGTACACAGTTGTCTAGTATTGAATCCTTCATGGCACTTCCTCAGTAACATATTGCAATAAAAAGAGTTTCCATGAAGTTGGGATAAAGGGCAACACAAAATGGCACCGTGTGGTGGCTTCCTGAGGAGGATGAGCAAGATCTACTGCCTCTGAACTTGGAGGGGATGTAATAATACAGAGCCATCATGACTAGTAGCCATTGATAGCTTTTCCCACTGATGTGTAAAAAACCCCCAAACCCTTTTTAAAGCCATCCCTGTTTGTGGCTATTGCCAGATCTTGTGACAGCATATTCTGCAGTTCGGCCATGCACTGTGTGAAGATGTATGTCCTTTGTCCTGATCTCCCATCATTCAGCTTTTGTTGGATGACCCCCAAGTTTTGGCACAGTGGTACCCCGGGTTAAGAACTTAATTCGTTCCGGAGGTCCGTTCTTAACCTGAAACTGTTCTTAACCTGAAGCACCACTTTAGCTAATGGGGCCTCCCGCTGCTGCCGCGCCGCCAGAGCACGATTTCTGTTCTCATCCTGAAGCAAAGTTCTTAACCCAAGGTACTATTTCTGGGTTAGCAGAGTCTGTAACCTGAAGTGTATGTAACCCGAGGTACCACTGTATTATTAAAGAGGGAGAAAAACTTACCCACTTCCCCCACACCATTGTTCTATAAACTTCTTGTAATGTCCTCCCTTACTCAGTAGAATCAGAGATGGAAGGGACCATGTGGGTCATCTAGCCCAACCCCCTACAATGCAGGATTTATTTATTTTTTACCAAGGTGGGGCTTAAACCCACAACCCTGAGATTAAGAGTCTCATGCTCTACCAACTGTACTATCCTAGATTATATCCTATCTTTGGTAAACTAAAAAGCTGAAAATGTTTGTAACCTTTCGTCTGGGGTGTTGCTCTTGCTCCCCTGATAATTTTGGCTGCTCTTTCTCTGCAGCTTTCCCAGCTCTTAAATCTAAACCATTTCTGTCTAGACCAGCCTCTTGTTTCGTGAAACAGCCAGTTGGAATATTCTGGGGCCTTACAAGCAAAGCACCAAGAGCATAGTCTTCTCCTGTTTGTTCTCCGTGTCTGGTAGTCATTTAAACAGCATATGAAGCTGAAGGTTTATTATCCATTTAGAGTCTTTCCACCCTGACTCCAAGTCACTTTAGTCATCAGAGTCGTTCGTAAACATTACATTTATAGGTGCATTATATCAACCCTCTACAATGGCAGTTCTTCTGACATATATCAAGCACTGAATAAGATACTTTCTGAATATCCTGCTGGCCTGAGACAATTCTCCTGAAGTGAGAGGGACTAGCTGATTTTTTAAGCGATCTGTTTTGAATGCTGGGTCCTGTGATAGTTAATACCATGGTTTATAGCCATTGGTAGACTTAGCTTTCATAAATGTGCCTAATCCAGTTCAAGGCGGCTTCCAAACCAGCAGCTACCATCACATTTTGTGGTAGTAAATTCCACAAGTTAATATATGTGCATTGTGTGAAGCATTTTATCCTGTCATCTGTGAGCTTATTGCCAATCAGCTTCATTGAATGGCTGCCCCATTCTCACAGCATGAGAGATTATTTATTTCACCCATTTTATCCACTCTGTACCCAATTTTGTAAACTCCTTAATGATAGCAAATTAATTATGAGCAAGCCCCTTGGATCCCCATTCAACCTGCAGATGTTGGCTAAGTATGCAATCTGATGCATACTTACCTGTGGTTAAACTCCACTGGTTTGAATGGGATTATGAGTGGACATGCATAGGATCGCACTGCTAAACTCTGTGTGGTGATACCATAGAGAGGGGCATTATTTTCAGTAGCAAGCAAATTTTGCTTAAAAACTTCACCTGCATGCTGTCAATATGATTTTACTGCAATAGCAACCGCTGTGTATATGAACTGTATAGTTAAGCTTTATTCTGAACAAGATCAGAGCTTGTCAAACATGATTGTTTCTGAACTGAGCTGTAATTATGCCAGCAGCATGTGGCATTGGGATTAACCTCTTCACACAATCTGAAATGGTATCGAAATAAATCTCAGTTTAATCCTCCTCTTCCCCCCCCCTTGCCCCTTAATTTTGCTGCCATTGGATTGGGGGGCACTGTGGTCTTCGTAAACCACGGAGGAAATTCATCATGATGATTAATCAAGCCTTTAATGAACAAATAGAGAGGAATGGATGGGAAATTAGGCCAGCAAAATCCACCCTTGTCAGCCAGTTCAGGATTATTCCCTACGCAGTGCTTGCTTCTACTCTGAAATGATAAAGCCTTACTTTCAGTTGGTGGCTATTAAGTAAAAGTTGAAGTAAATGTGTTGTTTTGAAAATATTGTGATGAATACTCAGATTTTTAAAAAATCAGGATAACAAAAGGCCAACAAATGACCTTTCAGACATTTGTTGGAGTATGACTCCCACCATCCCTGACCATTGGGCTTTGCTGATAATGGGATAATGGGAGCTGGAGTCCCAGCAAAATCTGAAGGGCCACAGGTTCTGCATCCCTGGCTTCCAAGAACATTCAGGTTTATCTTCTACTTCTAGAACTTCTTATTCTTGTGGCATACTGCTTAATTTGCCATGATTCATTTGCTGTTCAACAGTGAAAACATTGCACATCGATAGTTGCAAAACAGACATCATTCTGAGCTTGCAGACATAAGACAGGTGAATGACTTCTTGTATTATCTTATATTCCATCCTTTCAGCACTTACCTTTTTACATTCCACTCTTATCCTCCATGGTGTAGGAGCTCTGGAAGTGGGGTAATAGCTATAGCTATGGTTTGCCATTTTAGAAATCACAGAATCATAGAAATGTTGTAGTTAGGATTCCTTAACCATGACTTAGCATCATGTCTTACTTGTGCCTATGTATCAGTCATTAAGGATTTGTATTACAGGCTTGATATGTTGTTGAGGGGTTTATATTCTTGCTATTTGGATGGGGGGGTCATTTGTTCATAAACGACAACAATGACTTTCATAATAAAACTTGTAATATAGAAAGAACTTGAAATTTGGTCTATTTTGGTAAGTTCAAGCGATGCATAGTCTACAATGAATATTCCATTCGATACCCACTAAGACCAAAGAATAACAGTTTCGGGAACTAGCTGAATTGAAATGAATATTCAGAGCAAAATGAAATTGTTATCTTGGTCCGGCACAGCTACTGTGTTGCTGATCTCTTTTTTTAAAAAAAATGATATTTATTAAAATTTCAAAGAAAAGAAAGAGATTACATTAATAAGAAAATTAACAATAAAAAGGAAAAATTAACAATAAAAAGGGAAAATACAAAATACAAAATACAAAAAAAGAAAAAACAGTTAAAAACAATTCCATTTTTTCATCACTTCTCTTACATTTACTTATTTCCCGGACCTCCTCATACCACCCTCTTTTGTATTCCAATTCAGTTTGTTAGTCCAGCAATTCCTTTCCCTACTTTTTAATCCTGATCTTTAATCTTGATATATTATAACATTAAATTTTTACGTATTAAAAACCATTTTTTCCATATTCTTTTATACCATTACAGCTAGAAACCACTTAACTTCAATCCGACATCATTCTAACATTCATTAATTTTACAATATTTCTGTAAGTAGTCTTTAAATTTCTTCCAATCTTCTTCCACCGACTCTTCTCCCTGGTCTCGGATTCTGCCAGTTATTTCCGCCAATTCCATGTAGTCCTGTGTTGCTGATCTCTTGCCTAAGAGAGTAAGAGCAGGTATCAGGCTCCTATTTGCTTCAAAGTGATCTTCTTCTTCTCTTCCTTTGACTTCCTGCCATTAACTATAATTTCACAGAACATGTTCACCAATCCAACCCAAGGTTGATGCAAGCCAGCTTCCCCTAATAAAGCATGATTTCAAACCACAGTTTTCAGAAGAACATGGTTTGTGATGATATTCATGTAATATTCAACTATAGTTAAGGCAGGGGGAAATTATTCTGAAGAGGGGCGGCTTTGTCTTTTCTGTGATGGCTTTGTTACAAATTGAAGTGCATAGGAGCCAACTCTAGGGGCTGGGGGTCTTTGCACACACCCCCAATAAAATATTTGAGAGTTGATGGGCAATTGACATCCAAATGATGCACGTGCACTATGTCATTTGATCAATTATGCAGGGCAGGCCTTTCCTGCCCCCCCCCAATATGTTATTCAAGTTGGCACCCCTGTTTAAGTGGGAATGTGTGTTGAGTACTACAGAATACAGTGGTACCTCGGGTTACATACACTTCAGGTTACATACGCTTCAGGTTACAGACTCCGCTAACCCAGAAATAGTACCTCAGGTTAAGAACTTTGCTTCAGGATGAGAACAGAAATGGTGCTCCGGTGGCGGGGCGGCTAATGGGAGGCCCCATTAGCTAAAGTGGTGCTTCAGGTTAAGAACAGTTTCAGGTTAAGAACAGACCTCCGGAACGAATTAAGTACTTAACCCGAGGTACCACCGTACTCACATTCACATCTCATCCTGATTTTCTGCCCCCAAATATCTCCACACTTTTTCTCCCTATCAAAAATACCTTGCCACGTACTGGATGCTTCATGAACCAAGTGATAACAAATGGCACATTGATTACACAATGCTCAACACTTGCAGCCAGATTCGGGATGACAGGTTTTTTTGTAAAATAATAATAATCAATGAAATCCATCAAATCATGGATATGTAACAGAGCCTAATTGGCTGTCTTATTGAAAAAATGTCACTTTAAAGTTCAGTAATACTAAATTTGGAATGTTGGAGCAGCATCAGCGATTTCAATATCCTGACTACATCTGGGTCTCTGCAATAGCTCATACCATGTTCCACCCACCCAGTCATCTTCCCTTCCTGCCTCTGCTACCTGCGACCTTGCTGGTGATGCTCAGTGGTGGAGGAACTCTCTCCGGCACCTGGGGCAGCACAGCCCATACGGACTGCGCATGTGCGGCATCCCACGTTTGCACAGTCCATATGGGATGCCACTCATGTGTAACAGCATCCCGTATGGACAGCATGTGTGAGCAGCAGCCTGGATGGACGCCGCATGAGCAGCGCCCATACGGACTGCATGCGCCCTCGGCCGCTCTACAGCTGGGGGGAGGCAGGGGCCATCTTGTCACCCCTCCCAGAGTGGCACCCGGGGTGACCTGCCCCCTCCTTCCTACACCCCTGGTGATGCTCCACATTCTTTCAAAAGAAAATAAATTAGGCAAGGCACAGATGTAAAATTGCATTACCAGTTTTATCTCAAGAACGCAAGTTCTCCATCACAGGAAATTTTAGGGGGAGGGGGAGGTAATATAAGAATTCATTTTCTTCCTACCTCCCCCCCGCATTGCATAATAATTTCCACAGCAGCAGTCTTTAATATAGGCTTCCCCCCAACATGATTCTTGTTAAGAAGTCTACCACCCAAGGTGGTTGTGTTGCCCCGGCTTATTGGGCTGTCATCATTTGGAGGTAACTTCCATTTTGCCAGTTCTGGAAATTTGCCTTCAAGGCCCATCAATCATTCCATGGAGAAGTATCACCTTTTCAATTGTCCTAGATTGGAGGCTTGACTTAACAAAGTGATTTAGCTAAGTTTAACAAAGTCCCTGAGTTATCCTGTCTGCACTGAGACAGGAGTCAACTTGATCTTTCATGTATTACTTTCCCCCTTGCAGACAGAACCTCCACACATTTCATGTCTGTTGTAATGTATGGAAAGCAGTATGAAATTTCCTCCATTGTGGATTCATAAATCAGCATCAGTCTGATCTGAGCCATACACCAAAGTTGTGCGGGGGAATACCACTCAACCATCTTGCTGTGTGCAAGTGTTTCCTGACATGAACGTTACATCTGTTTAAGGGGCAGCGGGGGAAATAACGCATGAATCAGCCCTTACAGCAGGAGTGGCAAACCTGTGGCTTTCCATTTGTTGCTGAAACATAACTCTCATCAGCCCCAGCAAACATGGTCAGGGATGATGGAAACTCTAATATAGCAATGTCTTGACTGGAGGGTCTGCAGGTTCACCATCCCTACTCTATAATTCATGGGATGGATGCATCAAAGTTGTCGGTGTGAAAAATTAAAAGAGAGCGGGGAGGGGAGTCAAAGTATTAAAAATATCTCTTGTATAGGAGCAATTGATCTCCCCTTTGACTCATCACTGAGCAGATGCAGTTTCTTATCCAAAAGGTCATCTACTTGTCCATATGGAAGATATTAAAGACATGCTGGTGTTCCCCTTGATAGCTTGATCCAGTTCCTAATCTGAATTCTAAATTTCTTGATTCTGGGAAAGAGCAGTCTTGCCTTAGGTTTATAATAGCTGTGTGTCCTAGAAGAGTTGTCACTGAATCCCAACAAGTTCAGAAATAGGTGGCGCGTGGACCATCAGTTCTTCATATTTGGCCAGGAACAACTTCAGGCGGGACCAATAAGAATCCTCATTGTATGTCAACTTCTTCTCTTTAAAGTACCGGGAAACAATTGGCTTGATCTAAAAGGGAAAGGCAGCATTAATTAGCATTACTAGTGATTACTAATATTTCCAGCAGTTAGGATAGCCCCTAGACTAAATCTCTCTTGGGCCCTCATTTGCCAGCTGCAGAAGCAAAAGAGGGGTGTGGTTAAACAGCATGCCCTTCAACATTTCTCCGATGAAAATAGGGACATCTTATTCAATAAATTGAGGGACGCGGGTGGCGCTGTGGGTTAAACCACTGAGCCTAGGACTTGCCGATCAGAAGGTCGGCGGTTCGAATCTCCGTGACTGGGTGAGCTCCCATTGCTCCGTCCCTACTCCTGCCAACCTAGCAGTTCGAAAGCACGTCAAAGTGCAGGTAGATAAATAGGTACCGCTCTGGCAGGAAGGTAAACGGCGTTTCCGTGCGCTGCTCTGGTTTGCCAGAAGCACCTTAGTCATGCTGGCCACATGACCCGGAAGCTGTACGCCGGCTCCCTCATGACTGGACCTAATGGTCAGGGGTCCCTTTACCTTTATTAATTATTACTATTACTATTACTATTATTATTATTTTGTTTACATCTAGCCCATCTGACTGGGTTGCCCCAGCCACTCTAGGTAGCTTCCAACATATATAAAAACATCATAAAACATAAAAAAACTTCCCTATACAGAGCTGCCTTTGGATGGATTGGGGGTCGCATAAAAACATACCCTCCAATATTTCTCTGATGAAAATAGGAACACTCTAAGGAAAAGTGGGAAATTTCAGCATCAAATCAGAAACTGGGACAGCTTCTGAAAATCCTGGACTGTCCCTGGAAAACAGGGACACTTGGAGTGTCTGGAACAGTCCTCATGCCACAGATATTTGGCAAGTGGCTGGGGGGGGGTGTCCTCCACTTCCATTACAAAGCAGCCCCAGCTCCAGCAAAACTCTTTGCTGTTGACCTGAGTTAAAGGCTCAGGCCCCAAGTATCTGAACAACCACATCTTTCCCTACAACCCCTCTCAACTGTTAAGACTGGTGGGAAGGCGGGTGCTTAGTATTTCTGCTGCCCTCAAAACTAATGTGAGGTGGTGGCCTGGAAGCCAGCATTCCTTGTGACAGCCCCTAAATTGTGGGATTCCCATGGCACCAAGGTTTGTCCAGCATCTTCACTGTACAGCTTCCATTGGATGCAGAAGACACTCCTCTTTACCCTGGTCTTTGATAGCCGAGAATGTAAAAATATACCTGTCTCTGCCTTCCGATTTAAACTGCATGGGTTTCTTATTTAAATTGTATTAGCTAGTTGCTTATAAAAATTATTTTTATCTGATTTTAAAATTAGATGGCTGCATTGTTGTAACCTCCTTATGGTGAGGAGTGGGTAAGGAAACCTATAATGGATAGAATAAATGCAATTTCCCAGAGATGTTGTGACCTTGACCTCCCATGAATTCACTTCCTTCTTAAAACCACCAGACATGTCCCCTTCTCCTTACTCATTCCACATTCAATAGACACTCCTGCCTTCTAAAGACCCAGCACGTCCATCCGCCACCCAACTTCGCACCTTTAGGCACATGTTATCAGAAAGTGCTGGGAAGAGATGATGCTCCACGTGGCAGCTGATGATCGAGTGCCCAAAGGACCAGTCCAGCAGGGGATTCCGAGGCAGGTTCAGAACGCCGCAGCTCATCATGTGAATCCGTTTGGGCTTTTTGTCAGCTGCGAACATTGGCAGGCCAATATGCTACGAGACAAAACCAGAAAGAGCTAGCTGCTGCTGATCCTTCCTAAGAGCTCGAGAGGAAGCTTAGCTACAGAAGGAAGCATCTGAATAATAGCAATAAATCATGTTTCCAGATACATCGCAGTGAGCCCCACTCTATGGTGGAGAAACATTAACTCACTCAGAAATGGAACAGACCCAGAATTCTGCATTAAGTAATTCGCAACCTGCATAAAGGCAGGGATGGGGAATCAATTTGATTTAGTTCACATAAACCTAGAATTTGTATGTTCTGAAACAATGTGCAAACTGAAATGCAAGCAAGATTTCCAAATTTGCACTTCTCTAAATTCTGCAATACTGTATAGTTTATAGCATCACAAAAAATATAAATAATTCACTTTTCAGGGGAAATGTGGCATAAAAATGCATATATTAGTGAGATTAATAGCAAAAAATTATTATTAACATATAGAGGGGAAATCTTGCAAAAACACGTACATCAAGCAAGATTTCATTCAACAACCTGTATATTAGGAGAAATGCATGCTAACATTCTATTTTTTGTGAGGGCTTCTTTTCAACAAAGTAAATAGTAATGTAGGAATGTAGGGAACTGAACTTAAGATGGGGGAAAAGAGAAACTGCAAGAAACCTAAATGGACAGATTCATCCATCTATATACAAAAGATCACATCAAGTATGGATGCTGTCAAATATCTGATGCAGCCTAATTCCATGTTTACTTGCAATATTGCATCATGTGTACTTAGAAGTTAGTTTATTTATACAGCCTAATTCCATGTTTACTTGCAATATTGCATCATGTGTACTTAGAAGTGAGTTTGTTTATAAACTACATTACACTTATTATATTTGAGTAGGACTTATTCTTAATTGAGTGAACAGGATTGCAACCAAAATGCATACTTTTAGAGAGGCATCTCTATATGTGTGTTTGTGTAGTTAAATATGCAACCAATGTTTCATTGTTCCATTTCCTTTGCAGGTTTTGCAGAATCCCATCTTTTAATCTACTTACAGCTCAGTCCTGTGCATCCCCATTCAGAAGCTGGTTTTGCGGAGTTCAGTGGGAGTTCATATGTGTGTGTGTGTGTGTGTGTGTGTGTGTGTGGGATTGCAGCCTAAACATGTCAACAGTGGGAAAGAATAAAGCATTTGCCAAATATGTTGGATGTTTCGAGTCACATGGCCTATTGCCGCGAGACCATCAATTAGTTAAACAGCAAGAGAGCCCTTGATACAGAGTTGGTAGCATTTACCTGGAAGATATTAACATGGATGTAAGGGTGAGAAAGGAGAGCTCGTGTGACCAGCATGCAACTGAGAGCGGACCACATGGACTGGAAACCTGAGATGTTGATCAGCAGCCAGTAATGGGAGTACAGGCCAACAAACATGCAACAGAGCGTCCGGATGGCAGTCTTCAATTCAACTTCTTTGAGCAAGCCTGTGGAATCAAGAATCTGTGAATGTAGCAGCTCTCAGGGCTCTTTCCCTAAGCTGTTACACCATAGGTGGGAAGGCACATTTCTGAGAAGCAACCTGAAGCTCTGCCTCATGTGGGGCAATTTGCAGCAAGGCTCCATTCCTCATCCTTCTCCTTGATAATATTACAGCAACAGTCATTCTATTTTTGAAGCATTTCTATAGAGCCAAGCAGTGGTGTTAGGAGAAGGGGTGTTCAGCTCTTTTTCCTCATCACATTTCCCGAATGGCCTCCTTCTTGGGAGCTCGGTGGCAGGGGAAAATATAGGTACAGCATCTGTGTGTGTTGGTGGGGGAAGAGAATTTAGAGTGGGGAAATAGTTCAGGTAAGATCAGTGGCTTGCTTAGGCTCCCCTCCCCACAGAAAAACACATCACCAAAAAGTAGCCAATGGAAGATGCAGTTCTGAGCAGAATTAGCTTCTGCTCACTTATGTAGGTGCAAATTTAGAAATACTATAATCGAAAGAGAAATAAAACATACCTCACTTCACACAAGATTATTGTTAAATATTTGACGGAAAACTAGGAAAAGGTGTGGATTTTGTTTAGTGGCATCGAGGTACTCTCCAGTAAAACTAGTTTTGGTAGGATGTGGTGAATGGTTTTATTCTGCACTCAAGGTCCGCCTGCCTGATCATAATATTTAAGGTCAGGAGTATTTGAGGTCAGGTGAGACTGGCTTAGCAACCCTGCGGAGGCAGGTTTCTCCCCTCTAATGTGTGGAATGGCCTGTTTGCTTGCTTTAAATAGCTGGAACTATGTTCTACAGGCCTCTTTCTCAGCCTGTGAGCACACTTGATTCAAATTAAGTAGGTGGGACTGGTTAAACAGATGTTCTTGTCTAATGGAAGTGGATTAGACTAGCATACTACATCTGAACTCCTGGAACATGAGTTGAGAAACCTGTGGGTCATGGACTTTCTAAAGTAAACCAAGTATTTTTCTTTTTTGTAACCTTTCAAATCTTAATAAATATTATTTAAAAAATAAAAATAAAAAAATAAAGTAAACCAAAAGTAATTATTGCTTTTAATCTTTAACTGGTATGATGAATACCTCCTACAACTTTGTTTTCTTGATGTAACACAAATAAATAAATAAATAAATTATACCCCCACCCATCTGGCTGGGTTTCCCCAGCCACTCTGGGCTGCTGCGTTGATACTTGGACCTGAAATGCTTGAGTCTTACATTTTAACGCTTGGGAACCACTTTTGACCAGCAGATCCAGTGACAGTTCACCACAAGGTGATGGTTCACCACAAGGTGTGGGCCTGTGCATCACAGGCAAGCTGTAATAGTCACTCAAAATTGTTCCCTATATGAGCACCTTGTGGCAAACTGTCACCGGATCTGCTACCAGGATCAGTGAAGCCAAAGATGCTCTGAAATTCGCTTAGTCTAAATAAGAAATAATATTTTTACGATATGTATCAATAATGATCCGAGTCTATGCCATCAATCCCCACATTTACAAACCCCAGGTAGGCAAAATTCAAGCTTAGCCATTCCACTTTGGCACTTGCCAAAACAGACTTCGTATCAAATAATTTCTCTCATGATATTGACCTATGAGTATTTTTAGTACTGCTTGTAAAACTGTACGCTTTTAAAACAATATTGCAATATCCTGTGATCCAATGGTTGGTATTGTTAGATTCCCATAAACAAAAACAGCGAAATGCTTTGTAAGTACTATAAATATTTCAACAAATAATTCCACATTGATAGAAGCATTAAGTGCTTTTTTGCTTCGATGCCTCATGTACTGGTTATAAAATAAGCACAAACCTGCAGTTAAAATGCAGGAAACCTATGGCTGCCAAAGACCTAAGGTCCAAAACTCATGCGACAGTAAAAAGATGAGTCACACCACACCAAGTGAATTTCAATTGGTGGGTTGCCATACCAAAAAGTTTTGGAACTGCTAGAGTAGCATATATTTAGTCCTTCCCCATCTTCTTACTCTGAGGCAAAGAATAAATGCTACATTGTGAGATACAATGACCAAAAATATATTGATTTAAATCACCTTCTACACGAAGATACTTAAAATTGTCTAGGATAAATGTTATATTTGAAAAGTAACAGGATTCAGAGGAGAGAAACGTACCAATGGCTACCAATGGGGTGAGGATGGGCACTGCGATGGGTGCAATGAACATGTAAACATAGCGGTTCAGGAAGGGAAGCTTCCATGTGCTAGAGTCTCCCAGGCCGATGACATTTGTGTAAGCGTGGTGGATTTTCACATGGTTGTAGGACCCCTGTTCTGCCGTGAAAGCAGAGCAAACCTGGGACAGAAAGAAATGGTAAATAAAGGAGCGCTGCCTGCTCATGTATGTAGTACATATGCATTCAGGGCTCTCAGAAGTGACAGTATTACAGAATTTTACATAAGGTTGCAAGCCTGGTAAGCTCACTATTGGTCAACAAGACCTACTAGGCGGTACCGTATTGGCCCGAATATAAGCCACACTTTTTTTTCCAAATTCTGATCGTGAAAAGTTAAAGTGCGGCTTATATTTGGAACCTTACACCGCCAGCAAAACAGAACAGCTCCCACCCCCTGGAAGTGTGGCCGGCTGCCACTCCAAAGCCTTCCCCGAGCTGTCGGAACGAAGGTGGGGAGTCATACCGCTTTGCTGGCAGCCTTCCCCCCTGTACCCCTTATCTCTGGCAGCTCAAGGGAGGCTTTGGAGCAGCGGGTGGGCTGTGCGCCTTTGCCCCAGGCTCCCCTCTGGGGAGGGCAAGCTGCACCACTTTGCTGGTGCCCACACTTTGATCCGTCCACTCGAAGGCGGCTTTGGAGCAGCTGTTCACAAGCCTCCCTTGACCCACCAGAGATAAGGGGGGAAGGTTGCCAACAAAGCGTCATGACTCCCCCCTCCCCCGCCCCGAGAGCAGCCCGGGAGCGTGGGAAAATGGTGCACAGCCCGCCCACTGCGGCTTATATTTAGGGTTCCCCCCTCCAATTTTATAGGTAAAAGGTAAAGGTACCCCTGCCCGTACGGGCCAGTCTTGACAGACTCTAGGGTTGTGCGCTCATCTCACTCTAGAGGCCGGGAGCCAGCACTGTCCGCAGACACTTCCGGGTCACGTGGCCAGCGTGACGACGCTCCTCCGGCAAACCGGCACCAGAGCAGCACACGGAAACGCCGTTTACCTTCCCGCTATAAAGCGGTACCTATTTATCTACTTGCACTTAAGGGTGCTTTCGAACTGCTAGGTGGGCAGGAGCTGGGACCGAACGACGGGAGCTCACCCCGCCGCGGGGATTCGAACCGCCGACCATGCGATCAGCAAGTCCTAGGCGCTGAGGTTTTACCCACAGCACCACCTGCGTCCCATTTCCAATTTTATAGGTGTGGCTTATATTTGGGTGCGGCTTATATTCGGGCCAATACGATAAGTTTTAGAACACTGCTGTTTGGTGGTGAATGCTCAAATTACTTAATTCAGTGTAGCCTCCCTGACTCAAATGGGACTATGTTAGAATGTGTAGTTTCACAACAGGGTCCATAACACAAGATTTCATCTGTTTGTACCACCCGAGGGTCAAACTACACATTACACAGAAATACATGGAAACGTAGCTTGTAAGCCTGTTTTGAAGAGAAAGGACTACTTGGAGAGGGGGAATGTCATTTGGGAGCACAGAAGGGGTGCCGGGGAAGGAAATTTCATTCTTTCACTTCTCATTACTTTCCTGTTCCAGATTGCTCCTGAAAAACACAACCCTATGCATGTTGTCTCAGAGGCTTAAAATTGCAGCCTAAGTGACTTTCTTCACCTGCAGAGTTACACACATGTGTGCAAATATGCATTAAAGATCATACCCCAGACCCTCTCCTAGACTCTTTTTTTTTTAAGTCCAGTTTTTTAAAATCCCAATTTCCATTTCATATAAGACTCTGAAATTGTTGCAGGCAATTTGAATAAATTCATTTTGCAAAATAAAAGGGCAAAGTTCGCTGTGAATTTGTTTTATACTCAATCTGAATCAAGCAGTTCAGAATTTCCTCACTTGTAATCTGATTTTGACATCTTTCAATTAGGGCAACTTTTTCTCTAAAGCTTTGCCAGGTTCAACCACACCTTGAGTGGAGCTGAAGTTTCACAGACTCCACAGACTCACCTTTGAGAGCCACTCCTTGAATCTTGCTACCCAGGATTTGTGAGAAAGCATTTAGCAATCCCTTTGCGAGGTGTGCAGTGTTGATGTGGCCTAAAGGTTATAAAAGACTGACGCCTTGTAAGTTGTCTGTGCTGCTGGCGCCCTGCCACTCTCCATTTCCAACACAAGATAGGAAAACGATGGACATAATGATGGAAAGAACTTCTTTCAAGGGAAAGATTTCTATATTCAATGTACCCCTTTTTCAGGGCAACTTTTCAAGAAAAAGGGAGCTTTTCAAGATTTCTCAATTTTTATCTGACCCTACACAAATATTATTTCCTGCTTTCCTGAGGCTAAGACAGCGTGAGAAACAAATATGGGGTTAGATCCATGCAGTAAAATGTGGCACGTGAACCCCCTGACCACATTCTCCACTAATCTACAAGAGAACTCTCAAGTTTGTTCATTGGTGGCTTTATGTGCCAGTTCAAATGGTCCACATTCAGGGCAATGGTAATGCTTCATGTTGGCAGTAATGCAACAAAAGACGATCTTTTACTGGATCTGTCCAGTATTACAGCAAGTGGTTGTGCAGATAGAGATAGAGCGGCACTGGCCCCCCGTTAGGTTTATTATCTGTATTACACGGAGGAAAATGCTGGTGCTGTTTGTAACCCCCTAATCATTTATTTGATGATGAAATAAGGTAAAGGTAAAGGGACCCCTGACTATTAGGTCCAGTCGTGACCGACTCTGGGGTTGCGGCGCTCATCTCGCTTTATTGGCCGAGGGAGCCAGTGTACAGCTTCCAGATCATGTGGCCAGCATGACTAAGCCACTTCTGGTGAACCAGAGCAGCGCACGGAAACGCCGTTTGCCTTCCTGCCAGAATGCTACCTATTTATCTACTTGCACTTTGACATGCTTTCGAACTGCTAGGTTGGCAGGAGCAGGGACCGAGCAACGGGAGCTCACCCCGTCGCGGGGATTCGAACCGCCGACCTTCTGATCGGCAAGTCCTAGGCATCAATTACTTTAGATAACTATTGCAATATGTAGTTTACCCCTCATGAAGCTGCAATTCCCAGCATAAACTGCAGTTCCTAGGATCCTTTTTCTTTGGGGGTGCTTTAAATGTAAAGTTTATGTAAATGTAAAATGTGCTTTTAACATAAAAGGAGGGGGCACCTGCAGATGAAGAAATAGCCTCACACTGACACACACAGACGCGCGTACACACACACACACACACACACACACACACACACACACACACAGTGCTTTCCACTCTCCTCCTCTAAAATAAAAGGGGGGAATGGGTTGATACGAGTCAAACCTCTTTGCATTCTCTCACAGAACAGGAGCTGCTGAAAGTGAAACGCACCTCAAGGAAGAATACGGCCCATATTTTCCCCCAGGACTTGGACTCCGCCAGAGCATTGTGGGTGGCCAGGTGGCTCCCCTTCACAGTGAGGGTTTGATGTACCACACCCAAGATGGCAATGCCCAACAGGAAAGGGAACAGATTGTCAGAACGCAGAAGCAGGAACCCTAGGGAGAGAGAGGACACATTTAGAACCTTCTGCTAGAGGTAATCAAAGGACCTAGAAGGTCCATGGGTCCTAACCAGCTCTATCATGATAGCAACAAGGACCTTAGAATTATTTGGGCTCAGCTCATAGCTAGAAGGGAGGTTGATCATACTATCTGGTAGTCAGACAGAATCAGGACACTTGTGAAGAACAGGATCACACCTGTACTGTACATTTAAAGCACATGACGCCTCTTAACAAACCCCAAGAGTGCTGGGAATGACAGCTCTGCGAGAAGTAACTATCCCTTCTCAGAATTCTTTAGAATAGGACATTTCCTTTAAATATATGGTGTGAATATGACCCAAACTGGTCTGCTTTTTGGAGTTTAATGAAGCCTGGACACTTTGAATTGAGGGCTGCCGAAAAGTGATTTGTTTTGGGGTGGGTCTTTTTTTACCATAGCCGTGTGGTGTTTTTCTGTGTTTTTTTTTTCTTTTTTGAAGGCCCAAATAGGCATTAAAATGAGAGGCAGAGCTTTTGCAACTCAGTGTCATGTGGATGATGTCATTGTGCCATATTTTGCCCTGCCCCACGTCATTGGCAGGGTCAGGATAAGGCACGGCACCAATGATGCTGTGCCACATGTTCTAACTCAACATTACAGGAAATGGGAAGAGACCAAAAAACGAAAACGAATCAGCAGCAACAACTTCCATGTCTTTCAAGATGGTCTAGTTCAGGGTTTCCCAGACTTAGGTCTCCAGCTGTTGTTGGACTACAACTCCCATCATCCCTAAGTAGCAGGACCAGTGGTCAGGGATGGTGGGAACTGTAGTCAAAAAGCAGCTGGGGACCCAAGTTTGGGAAACACTGTTCTTGTTGGACCTTCAAATGCACTCAGCTAAGTCAATGTGAAAGAACCACAGATACATTGTTCTGTTCCATTCTGGAATGGTTTAAGGCATATTTATCTGGTTTTGCTGTAACCCACCATGGGATCTCATGTTGAAGGAGGGATAATAAATAAATTTTCATGCCAGCTGGGACAGATATGAGGGAGAACATCCTCCAGACTCTTCAGCTGGCTGAGGAATAATTTGGTCAAATACATCCCAAAAATTAAACTCCCAGAGAGTGTCTCTCTCCCCTGTAAATAACCTCATACCACCTGGGCACTCCATTACTGACCTTACTGTTAGATAGCACTGATTTTATTATGCAGGATGACTAACCACCGGGGGTCAGGCTGCGCGGCAAAATAGTGACTGATCTGAAATTCAACAGTTTAGCTGTATAAAAGCACCTGCCAACATCAATACAGATTTCCAAAACCACTCCAGTAATGTTCACTGTGACTTGCTGTGTTCTTGCTAGATACCATTTGCAACATGCCCACTGAGCTAGGTTGGAGAGCTCCTCCACAAATAAGTTTCTATGGGGAATATCTCAAGATGATTTATGATAACATCAGTACAGTGTTGCACTGACTCACTTTTCAATGTGGGAAAGCTCCACCATCCTTTTCTGTTGCATAGTCCAGGGACTATGTGGCCATAAGTGGCAAAATGAAATAGTAGTCCCACCCCCAACCCCATGCTTAGGAGTGCAGCGCAAGGACGTTAACGTACTCCATGCTGTGAGGGTCAGACAAGCCCCAGGGCATTCTAACCAACCCATTTCTCAGCAGCCAGGCAGATGCCCCAGAGAAGTCTCTGTGCAAGGTAAGACTGGCCAATGCCCATGCCCCAGCAGTTGGCAACCTATGCTTTCCCTTCTTTAAGCACATCACAGGGCTTAAGATCGGTAAACTTTAAGGTGTTATAGCACCCATTAAGAATCACAGGACTCCCCGACCTTCCTCCCACCCCACTCCGCAAGTTCAATGAGCACCTGAGGCATTCTCCTTACCTACTGGCAGGGAGAGAAGGTTCAAAGCGATGATTGTGCCATCAATGCCATGCCTCTCCCACCAGCTGCTGCTCTTCACCACATCCTGCACCATCTCAGAGAGCTCCCGCATCATGGATTCCTCAGACTTCCTCCCTCCGGTTGGCTCCAGTTCCTCCTTGGCTGATCTTTTTAATACGCCCATCTTGTTTCCTTTGCCTAGGCCTGAATTGCCTTGGGGGACCCTTAGGCTTTGTTCTTCTGAAATCTCCTCTTCCGAAGGGCCTTCTCTTCTGGAGCCATTTGGCAGCTGTCGCTTGGCACCTGCGCCCTCTTGGCTTGGGGCGACCCCTTGTCCTAGCCTCCTCTCACCTTCATCCTGGCAACCGTTCCCCTTTTCCGGAGCCACCCCAGGGCTTAAAGGAGACGCTCCCTGCAGAGGTCCTCCGCCATTCACATCTGCTGCCTTGGGCTGCTCCTCTTTCCTTCTCTCTCGGCACCATTCCTGGTTGTCCTTCATCAGCATCTCGCCCTGCCGTGGCTCCATTCTTCCCTGCAGAGCACAGGACACTGCAGAGTGAGAGCCAATGTCCTGGTGCTTCCGCAGGATCAAATAACAAGCAAGGCTGTCCCAGCAGGAAGGGCAGAGAGAGAGAGAGAGAGAGAGAGAGAGAGAGAGAGAGAGAGAGACAGCAGAGAACTGCAGGTGGCCTTCTTGGCAGAAGTGCCACAGTGTGCAGTCAGAAATGCTCACTGGGCTGTAAGCTCGTGTTGCTTCGCTCTAGCTTGGAGAAGTTGGCCCCGGTCCCATCCCTAGGCTCTGCCCATTTTATCAGCCTCTGCTCTGGCAGCTTCCGCCACTCCCATTCTGCTTGTGTCTCCATCCCAATGGGGCCGTGTCCCTTGCCCTTGGCTCTCTCTGTCATTAAGAACAGCTTGTTCAGGCAGGAACAGGGCTGCTGCGCTCACCACTGCCGAAGGACATGGGAAGGGCAGGGCAGCGGGTATCTTTGAAAAAAGGAGCGCGGAGCTCTGCTGGAGGCAAATAGGAAAAGCGAGAGAAGAGGCAGACTGCAAGAGAGAGACCCAGGTCCATCACATCCCAGTCTTAAAGGGCCATCCCTGATATTAAAGCAGAACACTCTTCAAACATTCCTGGATCTGCAGTTTTAAAAGTATATTCTAAATGCTTACAGCTCTCCATCTGTGTGTAGCACAGATGAACGTACAGTTTTGTGAATGTGAGGAGAGGGGGTCACAGTTGGAAGAGTTTATTATGAACGTGGATTACTATTGTATTATTTTTCAGTATTCAGCAGAACCCTCATTACTCCAACCTGATTTGTGTCTTCCTTCATAATAGAAAACCTGTGTTGGTGTAAACAGCTTTTTCATTTATCTTCTTAGCATAAGCCTTTGCCACAATGGCTCAGGGGATTTATTTAAAGGGCTGCCGTGCCAGTTCTGAAGAACTAAAAAATGAATTAAAAAAATCAACTCCTCGCAAATCATGAGACTTTATAAATGCCAGTTATAAATGTTGGGAAATTATTTGTATTGGCCCACAGATATTGCCAATATTAAAGGATACAAATAGATTTCTTTCCGTGTGTGTGTGTGTGTGTGTGTGTGTGTGTGTAGGCATATTTAAAATAAGCTAGTACCTAAACACAAACATATACACACAGAGAGAAGAAAGCACTATAAAATTCATATTAGTTTCCTGATCTCTGGCCAGGACCACTAATATTTTTGCTGTGCTTTGACCTCTTTCTCACAAAAGTTGTTTTTATTTATTATTTTAAAACAAACAATTGAGTAGCCTAGGGCTGCCATACATCCGGTTTCCCCTGGACATTAACGGGACTTAAAAGGCAGAATTGACGTCCGGGGAAGATTTGCAAAAGGTGGTGGTTTATCCTGGGTCTTAGGCAAGTCAATAGAAAAATTCTGGGGTTTTTTTGGGTGTTTCCTTAAAAAAAGCTCAACAACCTTCAGGATGTCCTGGTTTTTACTTTTGGAAATATGGCAACCCTAGAGTAGCCTAAACCTATAAGAGAGTCAGTGTTGCATGGTGGATTAGGACCTGGAAGACTAGGGTTCAAATCCCCACTCAGCCATACAGCTCACTGGGTCACCTTGGGCTGGTCACTGCCTCTCAGTTTAACCTACCTCACAGGGTTGTCGTCAGGATTGAATGGGTATAGGGAGAACCACGTATTCCACCTTGAACACCTTGGAGACAAAAGTGTGATGTGAATGTAATAAAGAAATAAATGAGCTGTTTGGAACAGGGAGGGGAATCATGAAATTTGCCAGAACAGATTATGGGGAAAGGGTTACCTTTTTGTTTTTAATGTCCCTGCTTCTGTGCCTTTTAGCTGCAGCCTGGCACACACACAAATTGAGCTGGTGAAATTATGTATTTTGTGTTTTTATATTGTGATTTTATGTTTTGAACCGCCCTGAGACTTGCGGGTATAGGGCAGTATACACATAATAATAATAATAATAATAATAATAATAATAATACAGACCCTCCAAGTGACCCTATTTTCCAGGGATGTAGCACTTTTATAGAAGTCATTCCGGTTTTTTATTTAATTCCATAATGTCCCACTTTTCTTTAGGATGTCCATATTTTCATCGGAGAATTGTTGGAGGGTATGGAGTTATCTGACCCCTGAGCCATCTGAAGGCAGCCCTATATTAGGGAATTTTTAAAAAAATGTATAATGCCTTATTATGTTTCTTATATATGTTGGAAGTCGCCCTGAGTGGCAAAGCAGTCAGATGGGTGGGGTATAAAGAATAAAATTAATTAATTATTGTTGTTGTTGTTGTTGTTGTTGAATAGGACGTCCCTATTTTCATCAGAGAAATGTTGGAGGGTATGGTACTAATAGTAGAAAGTGAGGAGAACAGCTTCACCTGTTAAATGTCTGCCTGACGGACTGCTGTTAAAGGCACAGGAGGAGAGCCAGTTAAACAGCTGGAAACTCAAATTGCAGGCTATACCACATAGGCCACAGGGAGAGGAAAGGAAGACAAGATGAGTTGGAGGAGAAAAGATTTGGGTGGGAGTGGGAGAGAAAGGAAGGGGGTCAGAGTAAAAAAGAAGACAGATGTAGGCAGTGGAAACAGCAAAGGCGGCAAAGAGAAACACAAGCTGTGTATTTAGGCCGGCAGATATTGTTTCAGTTTCCCAAGATAAGCTGAGCAGGGTGTATGTAGGACGGGCATGTACTGAGACTATTAAAACTATTTGAGGGGGCAGTAGGGTCAAGCGAAAGGACAAAAGCTACCAAACAGGACCGGCTCAATACATTTTGCTGCCTGAGGCAGAAGACAAGATGGCGCCTCCTCCCCATTCCACCTACGTAAACTGACTGGACTGGTAGTGCAATCTTACCTCTGCCCTGGAAATAGGAGTTCCAGGAGAGGTATGTGACACACACACGTGACTTCCAGAAGTCAGGGAATGGCTTGGGAACTCAGGAGACGAAGCCAGGGGAGCTGCTGCTACTGCTGCCACCCAGTATGTGCTGCATGAGCCAGTTGCCTCACTTTGCCCAATGGTAGGGCCAGTCTCAGTGTCAAATGCCTGATAATGTGTAATCTGTCAGCTTCCAGACAGAATTCCCATAAGTAATGTTATTTGATTGATTGGTTGATTTATTGATTGAGGTTTTTATTTTTTTTTCTTTCGCAATCAAAGTGGTTAAGAAAAAGATAAATCAATAAAATCAAGGGGGGATACAACCCTACTTTTAAACACACAAAAATTAAAATATTATAACAGGTTAAAATCATTTCAACTTTCTAAACATCTGGGTAGGCTCGTTGAATCAATGTTTTTTAGCAGGTGCTTGCTTGATTTCAATAGGCAGGGAGTTCCACAGTGTAGGTGCTGCCACACTCAACAATCAAGTTCTTACAGATGTGGCATCTGTAGCAGTGTCAATTCTGCTGATTGAAGTGGTCGAGTGGGCACATATGAGGCAAGGCAATGTCATAACGATGAAGGGACCCCTGACCATTAGATCCAGTCGTGGCTGACTCTGGGGTTGCGGCGCTCATCTTGGTTTACTGGCCGAGGGAGCCGGTGTACAGCTTCCGGGTCATGTGGCCAGCATGACTAAGCCGCTTCTGGTGAACCAGAGCAGTGCATGGAAACGCCATTTACCTTCCTGCCGGAGCGGTACCTATTTATCTACTTGCACTTTGACGTGCTTTCGAACAGCTAGGTTGGCAGGAGCAGGGACCGAGCAACGGGAGCTCACCCCGTCGTAGGGATTCGAACCGCCGACCTTCTGATCGGCAAGTCCTAGGCTCTGCGGTTTAACCCACAGTGCCACCCGCGTCCCAGGCAATGTCATAGGTAGATATTAAATAGTACTAGAGATAAGATATTCCGCTGCGGCACCCCATAATGTTGCCACCAGGGAACAAAAAGGCACTCACCCGAAGCTTCTCTCTGGACTTGGTTGTGAAAGTAGGATTGGAAACATGGTATAATACAGTGCCCCAAATTTTCATTCCCCAGAGAAGATCCAGGAGAATACCATGATCAATGGTATCAAAAGCTGAGGAGAGATCAAGAATCAAAAGAAAAGTGGCAATCCCCGTGTCCCGCTCTGCGCATCAGGGAGACCAAGGCTGGCTCAGCTCCATGGCCAGGCCTGAACTCAGATTGGAGTGGTTCTAAATAATCTGTGTCCTCCAAGAACACTGGCTGCTGCCCCACCACAGCCCTCCACCACAAAAGGGGTATGCGCAACTTGTCAATAATTATTCCAGTCCAAAGGGCCCACAGCCAGTTTACTTAGAAGTGCCTTCACCACTTTCAATGCAGCAGGGACCAGCCCCTCACGCAGTGAAGTTTTAACCCAACCCAGTTATCCACCATCAGTTCACCCTCCCAAATTCTAATGAAGATGTGGTGTTAAAAAAAACACAACTTCCTTTCACTTTTAAAGAAAAGAATCTCTCTCTCTCTCTCTCTCTCTCTCTCTCTCTGTGTGTGTGTGTGTTTCATATACAGTGGTACCTCAGGTTACATACGCTTCAGGTTACATACGCTTCAGGTTACACACTCCGCTAACCCCGAAATAGTGCTTCAGGTTAAGAACTTTGCTTCAGGATAAGAACAGAAATCGGGCTCCGGTGGTGCAGCAGCAGCAGCAGCAGCGGGAGGCCCCATTAGCTAAAGTGGTGCTTCAGGTTAAGAACAGTTTCAGGTTAAGAACGGACCTCTGGAATGAATTAAGTACTTAACCCAAGGTACCACTGTACAGGGCCAGCACCCAGTATAATCAACAAAATGCGAGGGTCCTGGGGCACCCCACTGTAGCTGATGCGCTTCAGCTGAGCAGTGGCTGCAAACGGTGGAGCTCCAAGTTTGCTTGGTGTGTGGGGGTTGAATACTGTCACCCTCTTAACCAGGGGTCAGCAAAGTTTTTCAGCATTGTCCCTCAGACCTTGTGGAGGGCCGGACTATATTTTGAAAAAAAAAATAATGAACGAATTCCTATGCCCCACAAATAACCCAGAGATGCATTTTAAATAAAAGGACATATTCTACTCATGTAAAAACACGCTGATTCCCGGACCGTCCACGGGCCGGATTTAGAAGGCGACTGGGCTGGATCCAGCCCCTGGGCCTTAGTTTGCCTACCCATGCTCTTGCCCCAAAATGGCGGCAGCACCCCTGAGTTAGGGGTACGGTAGGGTAGGGCTGGTTTTAACATAGGGATTCTGTTTTAGTATATGTGCTGCCGAAGCGAGCACTTAACATAGGGATTCTGGTCACTTCATGTATCCCAACTGGACCCAGAGTTCCACATGGTACCGCCATAACCAGGCCACCTCCCTGTATTCTACCAGGAATTTCCCTCTCAAAGAAAATTCCTAAGCAGGAATTTTCTTCAGTTAGTGCAGAAGCGAAAGGAAGGCTTAACCACCACCCTTTCCACACCTACTGACATGCAAATAATTATCAGAGAAAGACAGACACATACAGACACACACACACACACACACAAACACACCCCTCCAGCTGATGTTATTTTCATTTTTAAAAACCTGTAAATTAAATGCGAAGTTAACATCTTACCTGGTTTGGTCTCAGAAACATGCAACTAGGATGGCTCTCTTTGACCCATGTTGTAACCCACAGCATAAGTTCTGCATGTCAGGTGACACCCACCTACTGAGGAATTAATCATCTCTGGGAATTTGTTACATAACCATGTGATACCCATCCAAACAACTGCAGGCCATTGCTCAAATGGGATGCAATGCTAGCACGTCGCAGGATTTCTGGTAAAACCTGCCTGAACCGGTTCTTTTGTAATGACGGGGAATTCAAATTATTAGCTGCTATATATACAGGCTTCTCCTCTTATATTCCATTGGCTCTTCCGTGGTATAAATTAGGACTGTGCACCATCACCCTGATCTGATCTGGCACTTGGGATCAGATCTGAACCAGTTTGGGGCCAACCCAGATCTGGGCCCCAACTCAACTCTATTCATGAAACCCTAATGTTTAATGAGGATTTTAAACCTTAATTACACAGGCTGTCAGGAGAGGGTGCTGCTTTGCCAACACACTGCCTGCCTCAGTCTAGTCTCAGCTGGTGCCTTGTATCCGGGAGTTGTATCACACCTCTTCCTATAGGCCCAGCCAGCCTTGCTTCATTTCCATCCTGACAGAGCCCCACAGAGCCTGGGGCTCTTAGCTTCATGGGAGGCACACTGGGACTGCCCAAGAAGGAGGAAGCCGCAGGATGAAGGGGTGGAGTGGGGGAACACTGTCCTTGCCGTGGTAATACAGCCGCTGCTCCTTACTCCTCATCTTTGGCTACTTCTGCACCTGAGAAGGCAGTGAATGGGGTTGGTGAGGAGAAGCAGAGCAGAGACCATATCCACTTCAGCCACAAACGGAACTGACTCTGGAAGGAGTTCAACGTCATCCCTTAGAAACCAGCACTGCCAAGTGTGCACATGGAAGGGCAACCACCGTCTCAGACCACAGCACCAAGTCCAGTACAGTGGTACCTCGGGTTAAGTACTTAATTCGTTCCGGAGGTCTGTTCTTAATCTGAAACTGTTCTTAACCTGAAGCACCACTTTAGCTAATGGGGCCTTTTGCTGCCGCCGTGCCGCCGGAGCACGATTTCTGTTCTCATCCTGAAGCAAAGTTCTTAACCTGAGGTACTATTTCTGGGTTAGCAGAGTCTGTAACCTGAAGCGTATGTAACCTGAGGTACCACTGTACTGAGTATCTGCTCAGGACTGTCCCAGTTCTTCTCGACCCTTCGCTTGTGCAGCCCAGGCAAGGAAAGCATCTATTCTGTAACACTCTCACAGACACACAAACACGTCCTGACCTCCCTCTGCTCAGTCAGTGGGCATTGCAGGAGGATGAGTGGGGTGGGAAGTCCCATTGCTCTAGCAGGAGTCCTTGTGTGGGCT